AATGTTAAAGAAAACCAAGGGAAGAACTTGTGTTTACCTGGCTTAATTCTAAATGCCAGCACTCCATACCAGCCATTTGCCTACAGGACAGAAAAGCTGTCCAGTCCATACTAATAGCAAAAAGTATGTGCAAGGCCAGAAGGCTAAGTAACAGCTTAGCTACCTCAGCCAAATTTGTTCTTTACTGTTGCACAAACTACTTCACATCAGCTTTGCAAGGATTTTTAGATCTTCCTTTTTGTACATCAGAAGCAGAGGACAAGACAGGTTATGTTACTGCATTAGTGTACACTGAAGAAACAGTTTGAGGTGAGCTGTATTCCAGCCACAGTGTAAACCTGCCCTTCAGCAAACAAACAGGATCAGCACTCTGTAGTGTGGAACAAAAGCTGTTATTTCTACCAACATTGAACTGCCCTATTATAGTGAGCTGTCACTAGAATATGTTGTGAACATATGTACCCAGAGAAAGGTCTAACAGGAGATGCTAGTTCAGTTATGGACTCTGACCCAAGGCTGCATGCCTGTTTTGTACTTTGCCAAGCAAAAAAGAAAAGCATTTCAGAACAAGATCCACACATCTAGTCACTAGCATAGGAATGAGTTCAGCATGAGAAACAACCACAACTGTTTGTGCCCAGGGAATATAATATATCATCAGATAATTGAACAATAACTATTCCAGCATCCTCTGGTAAACACCAGCTTCCTATTAAGTCTTGGCTCTAAACAATCACCTGAAAGCAGCAAGTTCTATAATACTATATTCTTGGCACCACTGCTAAGAGTAAGCATAATACCAGGGCAAGGTAGATTTAACTATTAGTTGCAAAAAGGATATGCATGCACTGAAATAAGACGCTCAGGAAGTTGTGCAGAGACACGATAAATGTATCCGTCCACTGGCGCGAGAAATAGGTGGCGAAGGTGGGGTTGGAGTCTGGGGCAGGGAGAAAGGGCAGGACAAACCAATCCTTCCACTCCGCCTGGTTCTGGAGCTCAGAGGCCTGCTTGAGGAAGAACTCCTGCGCCTTGTCATTGCGGCAGGTCTGAAACACAGCAAGAACAGGGCTCACACTTCCATTAATGCCACCACATGGGTTCCAGGAATATTTGCTCTGTGTTACGAACACACTAATAACTACTTTCACCACCCAACAGAGCAAGTCGTTAGAGTTAACCGATTCATCAGGGAACAAAATCTCAAATACACCAGGAGAAGCTCACAAATGCACTTAATCTGACCTTCTTTCTAGTCACCACAGTCTTGTTTGAAGGCCGAGACAAATGGAAACAATCACACTGATTTCCAGCTAAACCAGTGCAGTTTGTGCACGGACGTAAGACCTGAGCATTCATATACAGGACCAAAGTATACTTCAAATTACTCAAGTCCTACAGCAGATGTAGCCTGAAAAGGTTTCCATCTGATACATTATTCAGACAGGACAGTCACACCTCAAGATAAGCACAGGGCAAAACAAAACATAAGAAAACCCCACACACTTCCAGAAACGTGCATTAGATTTTCACTCCTTCACCAACACCCATCATTAGAGATTTTCAGTCAGGAAACAGAATCAAGGAGGAAACATTGCTTCTAAATGGTATGAAATGAAACACAAAATCCTGACAGGTATTTGCCTATTCTGTTTGTCAAAGCTCACCCTGGGTAATATGTTCCATTGACTTTCCTAGGATTTCAACAAGATAATGTCTGCTCCATTTTAAGCTCATTGTTTCCTATTCTATTCAAAACAAAAAAACACCAATTATTTCCTCTCGCACATGACCCTGTATAGATCTGAAGCCCACTTCTCCCCTCTCTTATAAACTAAAAATCAACTCTACCAACTTCAAGGCACTTTTTTTTCCATCTGGACCCTCCAACTCCCTTGATGCTTTAAGAACCGTGGTGTCTGGAAGAACTGGCTGAGCCCTGCCAGCAGGTTAGCGTGGAAGGAATACAGACGATCCTGCCTGTTGATCCCCAGTGCTGCAGTAAGGCCCTTCCCGGTACTGCTGCTGCCTGCTCAATCGTTCCTTATTCTACATTGGAGCAGTTGACTACTACCTACATGCAGGTGCTTGGGGCTTTTTTTCTGCCAGTTTCTTCAACTTGTGAAGACTGCTTTGAGCACTGTTCTCGTCCTCCTCTGTTCTCATGGCAGTGCCATGAGAGGTGTTGATGAACCCTGTGATCTCTCCTGGTACCCAAGTTACTAACAGAGACTGAGCAGCACTGAGCTAGCAGCACAGCCATCCTGTCTGAAGGGGACCTGCCTTCGTGTCTGAGTGCAAATATCTTGCTCCCAGCTAACTGTACTTCCCTTTCACCCAAGCTTCCCTATCCCACTTACAAGCCTGTCATGTGAATCTGCATCAGACTCCTTACTGCACTCCTGATACATGACACATGAATTGCTTGTCCCTTACCCACCAGGCCTGTCAGAGGCTCACAAGGGTACTTCATTGCTCTGGTTTCAGAGACCTGGATCTTTTCAAAACAGAAGCCTAAAAATCAAATACCACCTGAACAGCATGGACGAGGTAGTATCGGAATAAGCTGGTTTTCAGCTTGTTCACCGTTGGCCGGTACACATCTTCCAAACGGCTGAAAAGGCGTCGGTCCAGATAACTCCAGTAATCCCGCAAGGCGGGCAGATCATAGCTCTGAACAAACTGCTGCAGCTGGTCCACTATCTTATCCACCTAAAAAGGACAAAATAGGGAAGGCTGCAGTCACATGAGGGCTCTTCCGGCACAAGAGACTTTCTGTAACTTAACGCTGAGAAGCTTTAACTGCACAAATAAGACTACAGTCTAGCACTTATGCATTAGCTGTTTTCCTAATCTTGGAAACACTGCATTTTGTATAAGCATTCTTCCACTCTGTGGCATCTTTCAAATAAAGGAAAAGAAAAAAAAAAAAAAAGAAAGAAACATCAAAGAACATAGCCAAACAGATTTTGACAAAAAGATCACATTTTGTTAAACACAGTTGGTGGGGGTTTTTGCAAGTAAGCAAAACTTTCTACTGCTTTTAAAAGTCAGTTGATAATAAAGAAACAGGAATAATGTGATTAAATGTTGAAAGCCCAAGGGCAGCATCTGGAAAATAGTACTGGTTTTAGACTAAAAGGAAAAAACTGTACTTAGCCAACATAAAGAGGAAGAAAGATCCATTGTACTGCAATCTTTGAAGTACCTTTAATAACATCATCTACTAACATGACAGTCATAGAAGTTTGAAACAGATTCTTTCTGGTCATGAGGTCTCTGAAAATCACTTCTGCAATATGAAGGCAGAACAGTGGTATGGGAATAGAATTTTCATTCAGTGATTCCTGATGGCCAAGACAGGCATTACGAAAAAAAAGTAAAATCTGCACCCTATACAAAATTAAACTACCAAAGTCACTTAATATATAATTAAACCCCCTTATCATTTCATGTCTTAAAACATCATCCAACCTCTCATCTCTGTGGTTTCCTACAGATGAAGGAAATGGAAGTCTGTGACCCCAGCAGTCTGTTCTTGGACAATATGATTCCAATTAAGCCAACTGGCTGCTGACCTCTAAACATTAACAAAGTGCTCATGTTTTAAAAAATAAAAGCAACATATTTTATGGATGATAAAGGCACTGGTTGTACTGCCGGTTAAAGAAAAATCTGACTGTTCAAAACACTACATTCAGTGCCCAGAACTGCTGTTACAGGAACATGAACCTCACACAAAAACTGTATTTTCGAGGCTGGCAAATTCGAGGTAGATGGTGCTTAAGTCATCCCAACTAAGGAGCGGAGCTGTAAAGCCGCTGGATAAAAATCTCACGACTGAGGGAAGAAAAAAAAAAAAAAAAAATCGAGGCAAAGAGATCTCCTTCTGCCACTGCCCGCTCGGACCGGCGTCTCCTCCCTCCGCTCCTCTCGGCACGAAGCTGAGGAGAATCCTCTGGCGGTTTATGGGCGTAGGGTCCCGGGGGCGGCGGTTTTGGGAGGGCCGAGCAGACCGTCGGCGGGGGGCGGCGGCTGCCCGGGAAGCCGGGCGAGGGGCCGGAGCCCGCCGCCCGCCGCCGCTGCGCTCCGCCAACGCCGCTTCGGAGCCAAACAGGAGGAGCCCCGTCACCCACCCGGTGCCTCCCCTCCCCTCCCCCGCCGGGAGGCTGCGCGTACAGAAGCAGCGGCAGGGCCGGGGTGCGGGGGGTCCCGCCGGCGCGCCCGGCCGGGCCCCGGCGCCCAACGCAGCCCGGGCGGGGCGGGGGCGGGGGGGGGGGGCGGCCGCCTCTGAGGAGAGCTGCTTCCGCGGAGAAGCTGCGAGCGCTGCCCCGCCGCCATCCGTCCCGCCCCCCTCGCCCAGCCCCGGGAGCGGGTGTGCGGAGGGGCGCCGGCGGCCTGCTCAGGGGGCACCCGCGCCCAGCGCACCGCCAAAAAGCCGATGGGGGGGGGGGGGGGGGGGGGGGCGCGGCCGGCACTCACCCGGAAGCCCTTCTCCCGGTCCGCCTTAATCTCCGCGTCCAGCTGCTTCAAGGCGGCCGTGAAGCCGCGGAAGAGCAAATACTCCCGCACCAGCTCGTCCGTCCGCTCCGTCGCCGCCGCCATGGGGGCCCCGCGGCGCCGCCGGCTCCGCCCGCCCACGGGCGGGGAGGTGGGAGCCCGGCCCCGAGCGAAATGGCACAGCCCAGCGCCAGGAGAACTACAGCTCCCAGCATGCCCTGCCGCGCCCACCCAGCGCAAGGCACGTCGGGGACTGCAGTTCTCGCCGACGCACATGCGCACGGCTGACCCACCCGCCTTTTCCCGCCTCTTCGGTGTCCCCCTTCTCGGCCCGCCGGTGCCTAGAGCCCGCCTTTTTTCCGCCTTCCTTATTGGCCGCCGCCGGGCGCCGGCTGCGTCCTGATTGGCTCTCTACCACGTGCGGCTCATGTTGCTGGGTGCTGGCGGGCAGCAGCGCGGCGGCGGGGACAGGGAACGAGCGGGGCGGGGCCGGGCCGGGCCGGGCCGGGCGCGATCGGCCGATCCACGGGGGCTTCCGGCGTGGGCCCCCACGGGCTTCTCCGGGCCGGCCTTTCCGCTCCTGGCTGTAGAAGAAAGAGCAGGGCCAGGCGTTCTTACCTCTAGGCAGCGCTTGCGGTCGGTAACGGGGCAGGGGGCATCAGTCGGGTTGCCGGGAAGGGCTTCCCCAGGCAGGCGCCTCGGGCTCTGCCCGGCCGGCGGGGCGGCTGCAGCGGGCCCGGCTGGGCGTGGGTCTGGCCCTCTCATGTATAAGTATGTCTGGTATCATTGCCTGCTCCGATGTCGCAGTTAATTGGGGAAAAAAACCTCCACTGCCGTGAAGAAGTCTCTCTTTGAATAACGGTGGTAGGAGCTGAGAAGTCTCAGCGCTTTATGAAGCCAAGCCCCGGATATCCCATGGAAACGGAGCATCAGCTCATTGTAGGGAAGGGTGTAGGAGACAAGAGGCTTGTCTTGCCTGTGATTCATGTTGTGCAGTTTATCATTAGTGGTAGATTAGGTTTTAGTCTGTACTTACAGGTGCCATCCCTCAAGCAAAGAGAGGATTTCAAACTCCACAATTTCCTACAGGAAAATGAGCTGGAGTGCTCCCAGTCACCCTAAAACTTACTTTTTTTATCTGTCCGTTACACAAGCTGTAAGATTTCTTTTTCTTCACTTACATATTTGTTCAGCGCAAATAAATACTGCATTGCAGCTTCTGATGGAGACAGCTGGAGACTGTGGGAAGTCACATGCCAGAGTGAGTCACAATCCCCCGACACACCTGCAAGAGGTAGAACCCTGCGTGGCAAAGCGGCGCTTGTCACAGGCATGCCACCGGGCTACGCTGGCAGGACTCTTAGGTGGCTTGCGGGGAGCTGTTTTATCCCAGTCAGACCACTCAGCCTCAAAGGTGCAGGGCAGTTACTATTTCTCTGTGCATTGCTATTGTACGTGGGTATGTTTACATTTAACCAGGTTTTTAGGATGACCACTGTATCTTTACAGGTGCCAGTGTGTGTGTAATTTCAGTGTGTGCAGCTTTCCTGGATCTCTTACTTTAAAGCAGCCAGCTCAGCATAAGCAAATTCTTTATTTTGTAGTCTCTGGGTCATGGGTTTATCATGTGCCTTATCTGCACTTTTCTTACAGGGTTTTTGCCGCTTACTTAGAGCTTTGTGGCTTCTTTATAGTGTTTTGGAAACAAATCAAGGGATCACATGATGAAGTTACCTTGATTTCACAGCATTTTGCTGTGAAATCAGAATAGTGAGTTTGGGGACAGAAGGTTTCAGACAGGGAGTAATTCATTCAGCCTTATGAGGTGCACTCTGTCTTCAAGACACTCTGGAAAACTAAATCAGGAAAAAAACAACCACCAGTACTGATTATTGGTCTCTACTAAACTAATAAACTACCTAATCAAAACACAATTGTTTATAAAGATTAAATTGACCCAAAATGCCACTGAAAATATGGATATTGCCATGCTCAAGGCAGAGGAATAAACATCAGGAGTCCTTTTATCCTCAACTCTGGCACCAGTTCATTTGGTTAAATTGGTTACTTTCTGTTTTCTGGTTTGTAACATGGAGAGGGTAATGACTGTTTTGGACAGAAATTGTCCTTGTAAAGGGCTTTGAGGTTCTGAACATGCAAACTACTGCTATCTGGGGCTTGTGCCTGCTGAGCCCCTTACCTGTCATGCAGGTCGAGGTAAGAGTTCAGTTTGCCGTGGTCTGAACAAGATGCAAGCTGAAGTCACCCTGTTCTCAGAAGCCAAGACTAAACAGATGCTTGTTCTGTCTAGTCTAAGGGGACTATCTTCACATACCAGTTCTTAAAATTGCTTTTTCATAGTATCGTGTGCCCCTTGCATGACTTTTGGAGGCCGATAAACTTCAATGTCTTCAGGAGCCTAAATGCACACATTAACTTGTAATCCTAGTGCTTAGTGTCTGGCTAAAACATCCAGTGTGAAAGCTTTGCAAGGTAGACATCCTGTCTAAGGTGACTGTGGATGGTCTCACCAATCATAAATCTTGAAATATTTTTGAGATGTCCATGTTGAAATGCATTTGCCATATGTTCTCAGTTATGCGTGCTAGAAATGATGAAGGAATGATGTGCAACACTGAAGTTATTCCAGCTTATATCAGTGTATCTGAGAGTAGAATATGGCAAAGGATTCTCCTAGCAAAATTTTCATGGGAAATGATTAGTAAAGTCTTATGCCTAAAGTTGGTAGACATCCAAAAAGACTTCACAGCATTGTATTTCTGGACACGCTCCAAGAAGAGAGCGATCCAAACAAGACCTGTTCGCTGATGAAAGATCAGAGTTAAATAGCAAGTGTCTCTGTGACTGGGTGTTATGTGTATGTATTGCATAATATATACCCAAATATTTATATTCAATATTTAAATTTGCTCTGGTATTAGTTCTTTCTCCTTTTCATATGGATAAGGGAAGCTGGTGAAACAACACAGTTGTTTTCACAGAGACAGTGAGATAACTGAAGGTCAAAATGAAGGAAAAGTGGAGAAAACATCCAAGGCATGTTAAAACATGAATCTAGGCAGAGCAGAGAGCAATCAGTTCTGATTTCTTCTTATGTTTAGTATCAGGTTTTGCGTAAGACTAAGAAATCTATCCAGAAGCTGGAGCAAACCTTGGGTTCTTTGCTGAAGATGAAAGGTAACTGCATGCAAGTATTTGCCTTGGACAGGGTGTCTGCACTTGTTTTTTCTTTATTTGTTAGAGACAGGTAGGTACACATTAAAGCCTTAGAGCTGACTGTGGCTTTAGTTGTAGCAATAAGCAAGGGACAGCAAGAAGTTTTTTGGCCCTCGAAACAATGCACCTCAGAAATCCCTCTCTGACTCTCAGTTGTTCCTACCTGATCCCCAGCCTAGGTGATAGAAGGAAACAAGCAATTCCTGCTATCCCACGGCAGCAGGCAGTTCAGGCAGAGTGCCCTTGTCACCCTGCTGCCGCTTCACCCCCAGGAGGTGTGGGGCTGGCGTGGGTCCCCAGCCTGCACATTTGGGCTCCCGCTGAGAGGCTGCAGGAGTCTGTGTGCTCCTCCTGGCCACACCGCAAGTCATGATCACCCAGCACTGCGAGTCATGCACAGCCAGAGCTTAGACTTCAGAACAGCAGGCTCTGGTGCGAGGTAAAGAGGGACAGAGAGGCTGCTAAGGCTTTCCTAGTATGGAAGTGGAAGCCTCTAGTTAAGAATTTACCCCAATAGAAACTGTTAAGGGAGGTGCTGCAGTTTTGTTTTCTTTCAGCTTGGTGGGTTGTCTTCATGCCCTCCTCCGTTAGCATCTGTGACACCACGCGTCACGCCGGTCTGGGATGTGCTGTCAGCAGCTGAGGCAGCTCCCGCTGCGGGGCTTCTCGCCCGTGCCAGCCATGCCTTCTGCTTACTGATGCTGGCCACTGCCTCCAGTGGCGGCAAGTAGGACTGGGGGCTGGTGTGGTGGACACTTATTTTTATGTCCCTTCGAGTATCCAAATTACTGTCAGCTAGTAAAAAAAACATTGCTGTTCATGCAACTTGCACGTCCAGTAATTTGCATCAATTAAAAGTCTCAGTGCTTAAAATGAGTAATCTCTGAACCCACATCTTCAGATAACCCATAAAAATCAGTCATAGATATAAGTAATAGTTTGACAAAGCAAAATTGAAGGGATCACAAGAAGTGGGGCTGATTGAGGAGAGTTTGGAGGTAAAGTTCCCTTTGTATTTACTTACATATATGTACAATTCATACTGCTTGTGAATCGTGAGTTGGATGTCAGGGGGTTATAAACGCAATTTTTTCATTATGTGGCAATCACAAAATACTGTATTGACTAGTGCTTGCCTGGACTTTGATTTGCTGGTTGTTTTCACCATCAGTTCTGTCAGACCAACATTTGGAAGAAGGCACTGATTCTAAGTTCCTCAATGATCATAAACTCCCAATAATGCTAGTTACATTGCAAGAGAGGCAGAATTTTCTCTTTTCACATCATTTTTGCCTAATGAGCTCTGGCTCCTGAAGTGCCAGTTGTTGAAATTATTCTGTTTGATTGGGGCTAAGGGTGAGAGGGAAGCCAAAAGTGCCACTGATGTGACAGTTGTCACCTTTCTGCTGACAACAGAGTCCTTCGGTCTGGAGGATGGAAACCCGTCCAGCTTGGAGGAAGTAAGGGAGGAATATGTCAAGAGGCACTTCAGCAATGACAGGTAAGGGTTTATACCAGTCAAGGAAAGATGATAATACTTTGCACTGAATTTCCAAGCAGAGGCCTTTCATAGTGAGGAAAAGCTTAAGAGATTTCACCTGGACCCCTGTAATCCTGTACAGTGCACGAACACTTCAAGCACGTCGCTGGTCTCACTTCCAGGCAGTGCTTGTATTTTCTTCCTCTTCTGTGTAGCTGATCTCTGTCAAAGACTTCTCATTTGCCTGCAGAGCAGAAGGAGGAGGAGAAAGCTGGCTTGGGAAGAATGGCCCTGGACTCTGGAGTGACAGTGACAAGGGCCTTATTAATCTAGTTAAGAAGTTGTTCATGTGGCTTTTTGTTTTCTCTGTGTTCTTTCCAGCACTGCATCAGCCGTGGAAACTGTGAGTGAGAGTGACTCTACCGTCTGGTATTTGATAGAAGAATGTGAAAAACAAACACTGGAAGAAGATGGGAAGCCAGAACTGATCCAGTCTTCAGACACTTCATCCCCGGAACTGGTGGAATTTGAACGGTAGGTGCATTCCAAGTTGCCCTCAGTTTTTTAATTTGTTTGCATTAACACTGTACATCCAGTCACTGCTATTTGTGCAGCCCTGCTGGAGCCTGCATCTGCCTTGTAGAAGCCTTGTGCCAGCAATTTTGGCCCTGCTGGTGATGAGGCCGAGCGCCTCCCAAGTCCCTTACCTGTGACTTGCATGTGAATCCATTCCCAGTGTCGTAGCAGCCCCCAGCTCTCCAGGCCCTGGAAAATCCCTGAAAATTTTCCACCCATCTTCAAGAAAGAGAAAAAAAAAATTATTTCAGGTGTGTCAGTCCCTGTGTGGCCATGCTTTACCGCTGCCCATATAGCTTGCAGAGTAAGATGCAACATACCTTCTAACAGTAGTGTTTTAACAGTCAAGATCAGATGGAATAGGAGGTTATTCATCCAGAATGATTTAGGCAAGTGCATGTCCTTGGGTATTCGTGGTATCAGTACCACTGCCAAGTTGTATCCCTGCAGTGGGGCTAGGTTTTAGGAATGTAGGAGTTGCTGCACCAGATGAAATTCTCAAGTGTAGCCATATGTGTTCTGCGGAGGTGCAGGAACCAGAGGTAGGCAGATACTTCGCCCCACAGGGATGTTCATCCTGCCTCTCATGGTGTTGTTATGAAGAGCTTGAACACTGTTGCCCCTTCCAGAAATAGACCCTTAGCTCCTTGCAGCTTGGAGTACTTTTTCTGCGGGATCAGAGCAGGGTAAGGCTGGATGCAATCAGGGAAGATCATGTAGCCTCAGCCTGCAGGCTGCAGAATAGCGGTGGTCTGGAAGATACCAGAAAGCACTCCTCAAAAAGTCTGCAACATGGCAGGGCAGGAGGAGTGGAACCTAAACACTTACATATGTGTTACACTTACAGCTAGTGGGTGTGAGTGTGTAACCCCCTTTATGATCAGCTTCTAAGTGCCTGATGCAGGACCTAAAAATCAAAGAACACTGTTCTCATGTCAGTGGTCCATGTATATTAGTCAGGGGTTGTAATGGTAAAATTACTGTTTTTTTCCAAGTTACTGATATCTTAAGACTGAATACATTAATCATCACATTCTTCCCCTTGCTGTCAGACAGCACTAGGAGGTACTTAGAGGTCATGGATCCTTTTCCAAAAGGATAAATGATCATTTGATTTTAAAGATTTGAGACACAGATGGATGTCTAATCTATCCTGTACCATCAAGCAAAGTCCATTTCACCCTAACCATTCCAGAGTTAAGAATATGCAGTGCAGGAGAATCCACAGCTGCAGCTGGCATCCTCTTCCACAGCATTACTGCCATAAGCAAAAACTTCGGCAGTTCCTTCATCTCTTTCGCTTTGAACTGGTGCTTATTTGTAAGATTCCCTTGGATTATTGAGTTTTTCATCAAAGTGAGACTGCAGCTCTGCCAGTAGATGGCACCAGCCTCCCACTACTGTTCCAGCTTTTCCTCCTGTGAGAATCGGAGGTGGCTGTAATAAGATATCATTTACAAGACCTTGAAATGTGCTGAATCAAGATTTTGGAGGGGAAGTAAGCCCTATTTCATCAAAGACTGCACGACAGAGCCATAAATACCTGACTTTCCCCTTCTTCCTTGACAGGGTAGTCCAGGGCCTGTACTGTGTGGACTCTGGCACTTACTCTAGTCTTATGGCAGATTGAAGTTGGTTCATAGCTAGTTCTTCTCAAAAAATAATCTCTTATAACGGGCATAAAACAACAGAGACTCTTCAGCAAAGAAAATAACAGCCCTTTGGTGATCGTCTAATCACATTATTTGGTCAACATCAGAAATGCTTTGAGCTTCAACAAGGCTGGCTTTTTTGACATGTCCAGCAGTGGGAGCTAGATTAGTAGAACTACACAGTACTCTGCCCAGTGCAAAACGTGGTTGTCTCCTTCCAGCTGGGAAGGAAATAACTGAGTCACGGTTCAAGCTTAATTTCTTTAGTAAAGCAGTCTAATGGTGATTTATATTCTTCTGTTTGAGAAACTCCAGATCCTTTGTTTGGAGATGGACATCCAGAATCCTTAGTGAGCGCAATACCTTACATGAGAATACTTCCTCCCTTTCTGGTCTTTTGTCTCCAGCAATGGTGGAAAATATTCCAGAGTATGGAAACTGGAACATGTTTATGCTTGCATGCAGAATTATGTTAGGATTTTCAGTATCAGTTTGCTGGAACAAGTATTAACAAAAAACGGAACTCTTTTGAGTTACTTTCTCATGCACTAGTGTTCAGTCAGGAAATGTGCTCATTTGGGACATCTTCCAAGGAATCATTTTGAGCCCAAACTTAGTAACGATGACTGCTGTTTGTAGAACTCAGGGTTTGTACTCCTTTGATCTTGTTATTTTCATCTGAGAGGCTCTAAGCATTTAATTAACATAAAATAACCTTCAGTGCTGCTTTTCAAAGTACGCATTATTATCCCTGGTTCACTGTGCCACCCAGTGCTAACAGAAGAAATGGACTCATTCTGAGATTTAGTCTCTGGGTTGAAATTATGTCACTTATGTTCCATGACCGGTTTCACTACAGACTGCATAGAGGTCAGTCTTAGGGATGCATTTCCTCAGAAGGAAAATGGAGGAAATTGAGCTCCCATGCTTATTTTATGTCATAGCATCCAGGCCTGGGGTAGTCTCTATCTGTCTGTATAGTACCTAATACGTCAGGATATGACCTCAGCCAAGGCTTTTAAGTGTAGTGCAATGCCAGTAAAAGTATAGAAAATGACCAACAGTGTAAAACCCTCAGGATACAAAGGCAAGTAACTCAAAACTTATTAAATGCCAGAATAAGGTTTGCCTGCAAGTACAGTGTGCAGCGCCTGGAGCTTCTGTTGTGAGACAGTTTTGCTGGGGCTGTGGCTGGACCCTGCCTTTTGCAGATGAAATCCTGGCAGAACAGAGTTGCTAAAATCTTCAAACAGTGTTGGGCAACCTTCAGTAATTGTATGAGGTCTTAGAGGGGGTAGTCAGTGAAATAGTTATGAATTAGAACTACTCCCCAGTCTCCATCTGATTTACAGTAGATGGCTGCCTCATAGCCTGCTCTTAAGAGATGCTCCCTTTTCTTTCATTACAGATACCTGTATTTTTATAAGCACACAGTGGACCTGCTGATAGAGCATGGAATTGTTTGCATTGAGGAGGTGCCTCTTCCTGAGGTCTCCACAACTATTTCCCACCTCTGGCAAGAGCTTTCTGAAGAAAGGAGAGACAGCATTTTGCAGTATTGTAGCCAGAGAGATTTCCTCATGAACCCTAAGGCTGCTTGCCAGGAGCCTGCGTGCACTGAAGGTAGTGTGAGGGACAGCCAGGGTAACAGTGAGGAAGCCACTGGTTCCTCAGTCTCCACACCAGAAGAAGTAAGTGCTCAGTTACATGCATCACATGACTCTGAAACTCCAAGCCTTTAGATGTTAATTGGCTCTGCAGCTTTTAATTGGAAACATACAGTAGTTGTAATTAAGCTTGCCCAAGACCACTTGAATGCATAAGTGGAGACAATAAGCAGTCTTTGAGTAAGTGTCTGCATTGAATGATCTCTTGGTAAGATACACAGCGAGCTATAGGAGTGCAGTGATAGTAATCCTGCTAGTCTCCACTGACCTGTAGAGTTTCTGTACTAAATAACGGTTCAATTTGCTCTAACTTGCTCCAGGGGGAGGGAGAAAGAACATGAATTATACAGTCACTGTGCTCTGTAGACACTCCAAGGAGCACAGATGATCTGTATCCAGAAGGAATACCCAGTTTGCCAAAGCCTGCTGTGTTTTGGTTCAGGTGGTTTTTTTTTTCATCAAAGCACATGGTAGCAAAGAGAAAGTATTTGTAGACCAGCTCCAGTGGTACAGGACTAATGGCTGCCTGTGCCATGAACCTCTGCAAAGCCAAGAAGTCAGTGACTGAGTAGACCAGGACATTTGTTGAAAAGATGAAATAACAGCCAGATCTTTGTAAACTGTTCCTGGAGCACTGATTACTTAAGCAACTAGCTGCTCAAAGACACGTGTGTAATTTTATTAGCTGCAAGGGAGGTACAGGTGTCCACCTTTAACATATGAGTAAATTGCATTGACAGGTTCTTTTTGAGTCACAGGGCACAACTCATATTGTTGACCTCCTCAGGAAATGTCATAGGGATATTGGATGTGCAGTACTTTCTGGCACAGATGATGTGCGGACTGCATTAAGGCAGAGTGAACTAATGAGCTTATCAGTCTGCCACAGGCTGCATCTAAACTCCTTTGTAAGCCAGGTTGCACACCAGAATCAGATTCGGTGAGACTGTCTGGTACAGCTGAGATCTCCAGCCATAAGCAGCAGCCCACAGTCAAGTCTCTAAAGCACTGATACGATTCATGGTTTTTATTGATTTTTGGGGAGATGTACCTAATTCCTAGAGGTTGAAGCACAGGCCTAAGGGAATGGACTAACCTTGTGTTCCTAGTCATGAAATACAGTTATTCCATATTATTTCTGTCTCCACAAAACCCTTTTGGTTTATTCTAGCCGTGATCATACCTGTTAAATAGAAAGAAAGAATATCATGCTTCTAAATACTTCATTATTAAAAATGATGCCCTAGGTAAAACTTTTAGGTGGCTGGCTATGTTGACATCTGAAGGTTTTCTCTGATAGGTAATGTTTGAAGATGCGTTTGATGTTGCTGCTGGTTCCCTTGACAGAAGTGAGACTCAGGGAATGTCTAGCCAGAGGTAAATTGCAAACTCATCCCCTTTGCTAGACAGAGTAAGTTAATAGCCCACTGTCAGTACTCCACAGCAAGTTTTCTGTGGAGTAAGGCAATAGCCTAGCTTCCTTTTTTGTGCCTAACTTTTAGTAAATGGTTAGGATAGCAGCCTCCAGCAGTTGTGCTTGCAGTAATACTGTCTCTAAAAGTGCAAGTGTGAAATGATTAATAGGCATTTATGGCAGAATCAATAAGAATCGCTTATTGAGAGCATGCCATCACTTCAGGTAACTGGGGTCTTTCTGATCTTCTTCACCACTCTGCATAGCTTTCCATCTTTTAAAATTCCAGTATTTGTAATGTTTTCTTTTTTTCTCTCTCACTTATCAGGTCTATGAGGACCATAAGGCATTCCCTGGATAAGTCAGCTAATCATAAACTGTAGTCTCATTTATTGAGACAAAATTTATCATTTTTTAATATTGTCTCCCTTACTTTTTTCAAGCACCTTAATTCAATCACAAGGAAGTGATCAAGCTGAAATGTGGTTGACCTGAACAATAACATCAGAGAAACACAAGACCTATTAAATAATAACATCTCTTTCCTCTGCAGGTCAGATGAGTTACCTAAAAGAGAACACATCAGATACAAAGCTGGTACTGGCTTTGATTTTTCCCAGTAGACCAAAGAAAGGAAAGGGTTGCTTTTCTGAAGAGGAAGATCACATTATGACTTCTCTTTTATGCATTCTTGCTACTTAGTCTTTGTTAGGATTGTTTCTCTTTGCAAATAATGGTTTTAATCTGTATTTTTAAATCCCATTTTCTACATATTTTTCCATATTTAGAGAGTTCTTTAGTGTGAATCTTTTTCTCTTTCACCACCATTCCACCTTGCACTTGCAGAACAGAATGAATGGAAATAAGGTTGTTTTGGCTGTTGTTCAGAATATACTTGTATCCATTAAATAACATTTATTAGGTCACAATTGCTGTTTGCATTTCAAGTAGGATTAAGTATTCCTTAATACTGCAGTGTACTGCCATCATCTTTGCAATCTGTTTTAGGTCCAAAATCAGATTAGTATTTCAGTAGTCAACATTTATCCTGTTTCCTTCCTTCCCTATCACTCTGTGCCTTGTAATTCTGGACAGAGGCGTGATGGCAGAACTTTGTAAAATCCCAAGGAGAATATAGAGGTGAGGTCCAGAATGAATATTTTAGCTTTTTGTCAAATTTACCTGTTACCCGAGTACCAACCTGCCAGTGATAATTAATATGTAATTTCATGACCACATTACTGCATTCACTCAAAAACTTTACAGAAGAAGTCAAAGCTGTTCCTCTGAACAGCCCTACAAATACACTACCAAATAACCATTATTTCTCTCTGTTATAACAGATACATACTTTTCTGCAAAACAGTGTTACTATAGCTGTCATATATCAATGGATCTATTTGTTTTGATACTGGTTTCTTGTATTGTTGTTCTCTGTTCTTACATATCTTCTTTGCATTTGTTAGACAATATCTTGTCAATATGTCCACCTCTGCTCCTCTCTGTCTTGCTTGGCTTTTGTCTTTAATACCAGAATCATCTTGGAAACAATTTGAATCTTTTTTAATTTATAAGTAAAATGTAGAGGAGAGAAAATAAGTAGGAGGATAAATGAGGGAACAGAATTAAATATAGTATCTGGTTCCATTTTCAGTTCAGCATTTGCAAGCTGCACTTCTGAAAATCCAGAGGATCACCACAGACTCTATCTGCAGATCACCGAGTTCCTAAAAAGCCTCTTCTTTGCTAATACACAGTTTTGCCAGGTAAGCTTTGCCAAAGGATGCATTATAGAAGGAGCAATGTACTTCTGTCCTTGTCAGAAAGGGAGTTGTGTTTTCTGTGCTTCTGATCATATTGTCCAGAATCATTACAAATAAGAACTTGGGGTTCATCACTTCAGATACGTCATTCCAGAAGGTCGGTAGGATTGCCTTTGTAAGAGGCGAAGTGTGAGGGGTTATTATTGCTTAGTATATTATTCAAAATGGCAAACGACATGAGGATTTTTTTTTTTTATTATTTATCGGTTGCATGAAAGTTCCTTGTGGAAAAGCCTGAGTGATATTATCTGAGCAGGTGAAGCTCACTTCGCAGTTCTCCATTAACCTCCAGTTGCTTCATTCAGAGCTCAGTAGGACAACCTTCTGCTTGTCTGGGTGGCTGAGTCCCAACCCTCAGCCCTCCACTGGCAGGCCTTAGGAGTAGGGTATTTGTGTTCTTGAAAGAGCTGTTAAACAGGTGCTGAGCTGCCTTTTAACCTCAGCCTACTGTTTCAGGTTTGCTGAGCCAGAAGTCATTGTGTTCGCAGTGTTCTTCCTCCCCTTCTTGCCCTTCTGCCAAGGAGGTGGCTCAGAGCTTGCACGTGGGTGGAGGATCAAAAAGGAGATAGCTTGTTTGGGCTCAGAGTCAATTATACCTCCACAGTAGCCACTGGTTTTCTATTTTCTATTGCTTAGCTTCCACCTAGTCTCTGATCCTTGAGCAGATGCTCCTTTGAAGGAAATAGAGTGTTTGTGATGAGTGGTGATTGGGACAGAAAACAAAGCAGAAACTAGTGTTGCACCACTATCTGAATCTATCACATAGTGACTGCTGCATGCCATTTGGTTCCCCCATCTCAGGGAGACAGTAGCACTAGAGGAGGTGCAGAGAATGGCATCAGGCACAGCAAAAGGCATTAAACAGGAGCTACTAGAGTAGCAGGCTTCCGCAAAAAAGACTGAGAGGTACCATGAGAAAATTTTGATCCTAAATGGTGTGGATTTGGTACACAGAATGACTATTCATTGTGTCTAACAGAAGAACTAGAAAGCACTCAATGAAATGAACAAACAACATAATAAAAAATACTTGCACGTGCAAATTACCAGATTTAACTTCTGGGGCAGCAATCCATTGACAATTACTAAACCTTAAGGTCCAGATAGAATTTCCAGCTCAGAAGATCCTCACATGACAGTTTGCCATAGTGTGGGAGCATATATTATGGAACAGAGCACACTGCATGCACGATTCTTGCACTTTTTGTCTAAACATCCACTCCTGGCCATTGTCAGAGACCAGACACTGATCTACACGGCCCTTTGGTCTGTGAACAGCTATGTTCTGTGTAAGAGCAGAGCTCTTCCTGTGTTTATGTAAATGATCGTGAACAGAGCACTCTTAGAAAAGAAAGAAGAGCTTTAGGCGTGATACGGTGTTTTCCAGTTTTAAATTTATTTTGTGAATGTCCTACCTGGCGGCATTACTTGGTCCCATTTTGTCCTTCTGCTTGGTGCTGCATTGTTATGTCTGAGCCCAAATCCATCTCACAGCTCCCAGATGAGATGGTACGAGAAGAGGTAGTGTCTCTTTCAAGCTTGAAAGCGGGACATTTGAAATAAGACTAGGAAAATGGAAGTGATGGGAAGACAGGCAGCAAAAGAAGCTGAAGTACTGCAGATTGGCAGTTGACTGAGCTCTGTGGATCTAAAAGGAAATAAAAGGCTGCACACACTTCTTTTATGCGGGAACTTTGAGTTGTCTGTGATAAGACAATAAAAAGGTAGTTTGAGCAGAAATCACCCAGGTTACAGTACCGATAATGTGAAGGTCACAATCTGTTTTGGTTTAGATAACTGCAGTACAGCGTGTCTAGAGTCCTGCCAAGAGGCAAAAAAAAATACAACTGACAAGAGTATTTTGTTTTGAGAACAGAAATTCAGCTCCATCTGAAAGCAGAGAGACTAAGGCAGTTATGGGAGTGGTTGCAGAGTTGGGATAGGAGGTGTTCCAGCTAGCTTGAAACACACCAACTCAGGCAGCAACAGAGAGCTCAGTATAGGCTACGTACCTTACCGCAGAAATTGGGCTACTTGGAGCATTGGAGACTCCTGGAGTTGACAGGGAAAGGAGCCCATCCTGCTTGCCTTATGGGTGTAACTGAACCTCTGCATTCCCCTCCCCTTGACATGGTACCTGTGCTGGTGCTACACTAGCCTGGGACTTTGGGTAGTGCTGGGATAAATTATCCCAAGGATAAAGTGATGTCCTGGCACACTGTGCACAGACCTTGTGGAAGATACAGAGGTGGGTAGCAGGTACAGCACCAAGGCGAGGCATACAATGTGCGCCTGACTGAAATACGAAAGGCAGCCTATGGTCTCCTTTCCTTTCATCTGCAGAGCTGATGAGGTGACAAGTTTTATTGCTGGTCCTTACAGGCAAGTGCTGTTATGCCATTTCTGGTTAACTGTCCAGGTACAAAGTACTGTTGTTGGTTTGTGTATGTTCACCATTTCGTAGTCACAGATACGCTGAGTGCAGCTCCTCTTGAGCCACTGCCCTGGCTCTCAAGGCTGCCAAGGGCATGCACCCCACTGGTATAAAATGCTTGAGAGACTCACACAAGAGGAGAGAGGAAATCATTTGGACAAGGAAAGGGAGGGCTCTTAAAAGGACAGTAACCCAAAAATGAGAACAGGAGCATGCTTCCATGGTACGTGATAGAGAAGTATTTCTGAGCATAGATTAGTTAAGCAATCTTATCATTTTTCAAGAGCTGTTGTCTTAAGGTCACATCATAAGAGATGCTTAGCAGCAAAGGCAGTAAAAAATTAATTTAGATTGAGGTCCAAAGTGTGTGGGTTTTTTTCTAAATAGCACTGAGCACCTTTGCATCTTCAAAGGCACACTTTCTTTTAAAATTATGGATTTTAGATGAGTCACTTGACAAGCAAGTGGGATTTAGTGCTTCCTAAGCTATACATTTTTTAAACAGCACCTATTTTTAAAAGCAGTCTTGCCCTAAAGTGTCTTACATCAATGCAGAAGGTGGGCTAGATGAACACTTTCATCTCCTAGACTTTGATTTCTCAAGAGCCACTTATCCTCTGTGAACTGGCAAAAGAGAAGACCATTTCCGTCTATTGCTAAAAGAGCAGCAAAGCCTGGAGTCAGTAGAAGTTAAGGGCTAAAGGAAGCTCTCATATCTTCAGAGCCTGTTATGTGACCCACTTGCTACCACAGCTGTCTAAATGATGTAAATAGACACAGGGTGGAGCCCTGTGATTTTAGAAATAAATTAGTTGAAAATTTGAGCCATTCTTCATCAGGCACCTCAGGCACTTCACAAGTGCTGGTTGCTGATTCAGAGGAAGGAGGGCTCATGGCACATTAGCTGACACAGGTCAGCAGTTGACCAACCCACTGTATGCTTAAAACACAATCAACTCCTGTGGTTCTTAATCCTGCTTGAATCTGGGGGGGGCTTTCAGGAAGAAGATCTTCAGTTCGATTATGAGACTGTGATGCTGAGGTGCACTGAGACCTTCGATGATGAAGACTTCTAAACCGTATCTCTGTTTGCTAATGTTTTGCAAGTATTGCCAGGCACACCAGGCATGTGAAGAAACTGCATGTCTTTCAGTGAAGCACCTCTCTGAGCAAGGTTTGGAGACACCATGTTAGAGTGGTTTGTTACCGTTGACTTCCCATTCCCTCATCAGTGCTTCTTGATATATCAGTTGAGTAACTTATATCTTTAAAAGTTCCAGGTGTTAGATATTTATAAAAACTTAAGAAATACTTTTGTCTATTGCTTTTTAATGTTTAACCTCACTTCACAAATAAACTGAGGCATATACAGTTAAGTGACCTTGCCCAGCATAAGCTGTGAGATAGCTGCAGAGAGGTCACATCAGTGACAGCCTGCACACTCCCCATAGGATGCAGGCCTCAAACTGCAACCTGCAAAAATCACAAAGTGCCCTGCGCCCTGGCAGTGATTACTTTTCCAGTGCAATTTTTCAGCTTGGGCTGATAAGAGATTTCCTCAGAGAGAGTGAGACGAGGCTCTTCCATCTCTTTATGAGGAAAGCAGCAGTGGCCACTCACTCCCAAATCACCCAGAGAAATGCAGGCACAGTAATACACTTTGGATTATTTACTTTTGCAAAGTGTGTTAAGCTGAGTGATCAGCCCCATGTTCTTCTGCCACATCTCATTCGTTGATGAAGTAGTGCTGCTCTGGAATTAAAAATGCTGTGAAGGTGAATAAAACCCTTCACATCTCCAGGCTATCATTAAAGGCTCTCTGCAGCCTTCAGCAAATTGTGTTCTGGCAGTAGTTATGCTGAGGTCATGCTAACAGCCATCACAAACAGAAAGGCTAAATGTTTTATTTTAAAATCTAATCTAACGCTGCCATGCCCAGGTATCCATCAGCCTTCAGCAGTCAGGCTTTTAGGCTGAATCCAAGAGAGCTGAGCTGTGCCTTGGTGCTTAAGAGCATGATACATGCAGCTGTATTCCAGCAAACACGTGGAGCCTAGTACTGAGTACACAGGGAGAATAATTCTTCCACAGCACCTTGGGTCCCTGAGATTGAGGCTGTGGTAGCACTCCCAGGTGGCTGTTTGCCAGGCTGCTGTGTTTGGAAGTGGGGGTGGAGGGTCCTAATTGCAGCTGCTGTTTGGGTTTAAGAGCCCTGCTGAGTTCTCCAGGGTGCAGCCTTGTCTTTCCCTGGCCTTCTTAGTGTGCTTCATGTGTACAGGCTGTCATTGCTTTGAGGCTGTAAGCAATGCTGGCTCACCCTACCCTTCCTCTCCCTCATTGCAAAATGCCAAGCACGTCCATCCCGTGGGGAGTCTGGATTTTGGGACAGGTGCTGGTTGAAATATATGTACAGACTTTGCAGGGGACCCAACATCAAATCATTAATTCCTTTAGCTAGTACAACAGACAGAAATAGGTACGTACAGTACTAAGTGTTTACATTAAGCATTCTACCTGTGTTTTCTTATCTTTGTGTAGTTTTGGGGGGCAATAGGTTATTTTTTCTCGGTGTTGAGGATACTTTTTCTACCAGCTTTTAGCTGTAGAAATCATACAGACTTCTCTCATCTCCAGTTCCATTTGCCACACAATATTTGGTCAGGTTTGTTACGCTAATGAGTCTTTCACCACATCCATCTTAATTACTGCATCAGCAGAGGTCAAACTTGGCAATACTGGCATGTGCTGTAGGACAGCCCTGTGAGCAGATAATGTTTAAGGGTTAACAACCTTTTCTTATTAGCACTTCATCCCCACCCCTTCTAAGACCGGTTCAAGACAGAAGTTAAGCAACAGAGTATTTCATTATTTCATTTTCAAATTACTTTCACCCTGCCACCTACCAGAGGAGACAGTTTTAAAGAGACATCATACACTGTGTAGATGCATTCCCTTGATCATCACACATGAGAGCTTCTGATGCTTCACCAGGAGAATTTAGGTTAAGACCGGCCTGAACATTAATGTGAAACAACAGGTGTGCTCAGGTAGTGTGAAAATAATAACTTGTCCAAATGATAGCGGTCTCCGTGGGAGGTGTTACGACATTAAGGAGAAGATGAAGAACACATTACTTTGGTTCCTCCTGTTGCATGACCATAGTTTACAAGGGTGCAGGCCTATGTGTAACGTGGGAAGGTGGTTTCCTCTCCTGCAGAGCCAACACTACACAGACAATAGCTGTTCTGCCCTGGCAGGGAAGCAGCCTTAATTCCTGAGCGCATTACTGCTGCATGTACACGGGTACTGCATTGTGCTCAGTGGTTGGTTTGATGGAAACTTTTCATCAAAAAAAATCTGGAAAACATAGGCTAGCAGGCTACTAGGGCAAGGTGGTGGGAAGGATTTTGGAGGCAGAAAGGCAGCAGGGAGGGAGGAGTGGGAAACACGAACGCATCAGGGGAAGTGCGGCTGCTACAGGGGTTTGGGCAGACGGAGCTAAATAGGGCAGAGCGAGACCCAGAACACTACAGCGTGGCAGCCCCTTGCTTTGTGACACATTGAGCATAACATAGGGCAGACCTAATGCCCAGGTCACTTCTTGTGAGAAAGCTGTGAAAATGAGCCTCTGATTAGCTGTTCTAGAGCCAGTGCACCTAGGTACAAGCCAATACCCATCACTGAGTCTCCTCGGCCAGAACAGCAGGAGCATCTGCCCGGACTTGCCAATTAGCTGCCTGCCCCTCTGCAAAGCTGCAAGCAGAGTGACCCCACACCTGGTTGAAATCAGTAAGTCTTGCTGCACTCAGGACTTAACAGTAACACAAAGGGTAACACAGTTGACAGGTAGCTGGCTGTTCTCCAAGCAATCTGGAACAGCCCTCAAGTGTTCAGTTTTACACTTGAGGATCCTCTGATTTTAATTTATTTTCATTAATGAGCAAATAAACAGAAGCTGTGTTGCTGCGATGCAAAGCCAAAGCTGTTTCCAAACCTCAAGTGGCAACATGCAGCTGGGAGGAGTGGTGGCCCTGCAGCCTAACCCCTGCCTACTTCGTTTTAAAAGTTGGAAATGTCCCCCCCTGAGGAAAATAAAAGGTTATTTTATAAATATATAACAAACACACCAAAGGAGGAAATTTAAAGGACATTCAGGAGCCTGAGCTTGAAATAGGGACATAAACAGCTTCTGAAAAACTCCCTTCTAATCTTCAGCAGCAGCAGACACAGCTGCTCGAGAGCAGCGTACCCACCCCCCAGCTGTCTGCACCTCCTGCACCGTAGGATGTGCTGGGGTAACAAATAAGCCTTCACTGGGGATTGGGGTCCCCTCATGCCAAGAGCTGTAAAGTCATGCCCAGCTCTGCTCCAGGGAGCTTGCAAACCAAATACAAGGTGGGGACACAGACATGGCAGCAGGCTGGGAGTGCAGGGTGAGGGCATAACAGATAAGCAATGTTCTCCATCCTTGGAGTGGGGAATAAAAAGTCAGTTGAACACTGATTTTTTGTAGGAAACCTGTGATTTTTTTTTTTTTTTTTTAAACAGAGCTAAAGCAAATATAAACCCCTGGCACTTGCCAGCATCCTAGCAGGTCTTACGAGAAGAAGCAAAAGGGTACAGCTGCAGCTTCCACAGAGCCAACACAGAGCCAGTAAAATTACCGAGGGTTCCCCATTTGTGCTTCCCACCTCACTTTTTCCATGTGGGAATCCCAACCGTAGCATTGAAGGAAAAAGTCTTGCATGGAAGATGGAGCATCTGAAGGCTACGTAGGACAGCAGGTTTTGGCTTGTGTACCTCGTTCATTAGCTGCAGATCCTGTTCCCATCTAAACCCTTTTTCCAGTCTGTGGTGGGTCCGGCCAGCAGCAGCCTGGCAGCTTCAGCACAGGACACGGGAACAGGGTGATGTAGACTAACAACTCCCTTTCACACATGTGCTACAGCACAAGTAAATTCGAGAATGATGATGAGTAAGACCACAGGTTTGTCTGCTAGAACCCCTGGGGGGATAGACTGGCTCTAAATGAGCTTACTGATGTAGTCAAGGTTGTGGAGGATGGAGAAGATACCAGAGCTGAGATGCCAGGGACTAGTCATCTCTGTTAAATCTGTGAAGGGGGGGGGGGGGGGGAGGAATCAGATATACTTAAATATGCAACTCATTTTTTCTCCCAAAAACATGACACCACAATCCAACAGAGGCACTCCAACCTGCTTATAACAGCAAACTATTTATACCATATTGTTTTCTCCTTTAAGATCCCAGCACTCACCCAACTGAGCTGTTCAGACTTAGTTCACTCCCAAAGCAAAAAGACCAATGTAGCCCTTACTAATAAAATAAGCCACATAGCACTACAGCTGCAGGATGGGACTAAAGAGCAGGACTGTAATAGGCATGAGGAATAAAAGCTCTTCACTGAAACCAACCAGGTTTTGTTCAGTCTTGAGACAAGAGGGTGAAGGGCGCATCTTATGGCCTTCAGCTGTCCAGTGGAGGGTAGAGAGAAGATGGGGTCAGACTTTTCTCAGAGGAGAACAGTGACAGGACAAGAAGCAACAGACACAGGTGAAGCATTCGAAATTCCAGTCAGACACAAGAGAAAACGCTTTTCACCATGAGGGTGGTCAGACACTGGAACAGGCTGCCCAAAGAGGCTATGGCTCTCCATCCATAGCTCAGCTGGACACAGTCCTTTGCAGCCTGGTCTAACAGGACCAGCTCCGAGCAGGAGCTGGCCCGGATGACCTCCAGAGGTCCCTTCCAACCTGAATTACTCTGTGATTCTTTGAATTCTACCTGCCGCTATGTCAATCACCCTGAGAAATACCATTACATTGTAGATTTTATTTATTTTTCAAAAAAAAATATCTAAGTATAAATCTCAATGCAGGAAACACAAGCTTATGCTACACCAACAATGTTATTACACACCACTGGTAGCCAGCACCACGTGCAATCACATTATATATGGCCATATAGGTTAAGGCTGTTTCTGCTGGTAGCGGACAGGAGCAAGAATCTGCAAACCATTCTCTAGAGAAGTGGTTGTCACCTCACAATCACCACACCAGACCAAACAGGTACGGTGGTGGGACACAGGACATAGCAGTAGCAGAGATGCATTAGATTCATCTTTGATGGCAATTCCTTCATTTTTGTAGGGTTTGGTGCCCTGGAGAAGCTGGATCCCCTGAGGCTGTTCCCAGCACCCTAGGTGGGATTCATTTCAGTGAAGCTGGGTTTTTCTGTTAGGTCAAGAACCTAAGTAAGGTCTCTAGATTCGCTCTGCAGCCTACGATGGGAGAGGCATGTTCAGAAGACAATCCAACCCACTACCCTTACATACCTCTCTTACAACAGCATTCATTTGACTGACTATAAATTATGGGAATATAGAATGAGATGAATCATGACCTAGAGGTACCCGCTCCTTCCCCCTGGCCAGGATGAGGTGTAAACCGCAAGCTGAGAGGTGAGAATTGCCGTTACCAGTCTTTAAGGTGGTGGGGATTAGCCTCAGCCCACTGGATGCCTAAGACTGGTACAGGGTCTACATCAGGGATGCCTTCTCCTGTGGCCCCTTGAGCAGCCAGGACAGGGGACAGGAAGAGCTCTGCTTCAGCTAAACAGCTGCTCCTTGGGGTCCCCAAGGCTCAGTGCAAGGAAACAAATTGAACAGCTTTCCTAGTCATTTTCTGGGCTTTGGTGTTCCGCAAAGAGGGATTACGTTCTTTCTAGAGGTGGGCAGACAGGAACAGAGAGGAGAAATACTACTTCCTCAAGGTCACCAGTGGTGCAGGGGGCAGAACTGGGAAGAGAAAGACATTATCATTCTCCTGCTCCAGCCTCTAACAGCTGCCAGCTCATGTTCAATGATGGGGGCTGCCAACACATTTTTCAGACCTTTGTTTCTGAGATGAGTTCACCTGCAGGCCAGGTGCTTATATCCTTGTATCAGCACCTACCTCAGAGTCTCTTTCTGAGCTTGCTTTAACATTGTTTTCCTGTCCAGCAGCCTTCAGTTCATCCATTCTCTTGCCACCAGTTAGTCTTTTGGGGCAAGCGGGGAGATACCGAAACCAAGAGACAGCACAGTATTTGGTGCCTATGCCAAATGGAAGATCATAGACCTTGGAAACAAGCTGAGAGTTGTCTGCCTCTCCCCTGTAGCTATTCTTCCATGCCAGGAGCCCCCGCTCCTCCAGTGTTCCTGCAACAGCAAAAAGGAGATTTTTATGTTTAAAACAGCGGGTGTTCCAAGCATAGGACTACCCTGTGTGCCTCATACCCACTTCTCAAATCCCAGCAGACCCAGCACAACATACAGATCACTTGCACTGAAGCCCTTCTAGCTCCAAAGCTCTTTACAATTCGCTAACAAGCTTCTAGACAATACCCATCCTCCTGCAGCAGCTTCCAGATAAGCAGTCTTTTCCACCGCTTTCCATGGGAATCAAGTATTCCAAAACAGGTTTTCACAAGTCATGGAGGAATCCATGAGCTGTTCAAAGGAGGGATTCATACAGTGCTAGGAAAGCAAGGCTGTATGTTAACTGCCCTGATACTGCAGAGTAGGGGAATAAGGTTTAGCTAGCAATTACTAGTCAGTCACAGGTGTTTACCCTAGCCAAGGAATTGCTAAGTGCCTGTAATTGTTGCAGCAGCTGAGTCCCTCTTGGGAAAGGGAGTGAGCACATCTATAAATTCTGCCCTGAGGAGCTGAAGATCAAGGGCTACAAGAAAATTAATGAACCAAAAAGAGATTAGCTTTCCAAATAAGCCTGAGATGATAGAAGAATCTGATTAACAGAGTGTCCTTCCTACTCTTTTTCTGTAACAGAAAAGAGGGTTTCCTCTCCTATTCTTATGCCATCCTTCCCCAGGCTTGATGAAAATCAGAAGCTCTTTTCTGGCTGTGAGGGCCTGCTGTAGGTGCTGTAACCTATCTTTGGTCACCAGCCTTTCCTACTGCTTTCCACTGATGTGACACCAGTTCAGCCTCAGTTTTAGCAGCTCTCATAAGGAGGCACACGTTGGCTCCTTCCACTTGTAGTTGCCATTCTCTCTCCTTTCAACCAGCAACAAGGCTCTAGGCTGCATTTTCCCTAACAGGCATTTTTCCCAAATAAAATTTTTCCTCAGACTGGTTCGTCCTGAAAAATGAGTGAGTTAGTTTTTGACAAGTTGCTGTTTTCCAGCCAGAGACCATTTCAGTGATGTCCCCTGTTCCTCCCCCCTCTCTGGGAGGAGCTTAGTCATAGGGTGTTTCATGGTTGCTAGCACAACTCCTACCCATAGAGCAGTAATCGTGAAGACAAAAAATACTAGTTAACAGACCTAGGGCAGGCACAAACTAGTAGCTTAGTTAATTTCAGCAAATCCTACCTGGGATCGTGTTATCAAGGATAAACCCCAGGAGTCCACCCACAAACATGCCAGTGGTGAGAAGCACCTGGATCACCTGGTCCAGCTGGATGATTCCTAGCAGAAAAACAAAGCTTTGGATAGGGTGCAGAGACACGTGTTTGACCAGCAACATACCCAGTGCCAAGATGTAGCAAGCTACATGCTTGTTTAGACAAGACTTGCAAATCCCAATGCAGAGTTTAAAATTTGGCGATGCAATGGAGCTTGATCTCACTGCCAGTTTCAGACCTACACTTTTATTCTGCATAATTATTCACTGACCCAGCTGCTGGTGGGCAGGAGATGACTCATAAATATATTAAGAGCCTATTAACAGTGCAGACCACAGCATCGTCCCAGAAAAAGCTACCTTCAGTTCCAAAGAAGTACAGGTATATTTAGCATGGGATTTCACCACAAGTTAATCAGGTGTGATGTTTTTCTGTGAGGGCTAACAGACATGAGCAAAGCCCAATGGCACTGAGCATCTGATAGACCATCTATAGAGTGTGTGATTTGTGGGCCCAGCTCTTCCAAGAGGCCACCCAGCACACCGTATACACCTTAAGAGAGGACACCACAGGCTTTGTGATAAACACATTAGTCACGTGAGACACAGTGAAGGGGTAACTGTTGGAGGATGGAAATTTCAATAAAGTGAACTTCATGGAATTTCGTAGAGGAGTCTGCTCTTGCATTTTGGAAGCACAAAGTTTTATTGTGTATGAGCGTGTAAGAAAGCCTCATTCATTGAGATCATCATCAAGATTCAGCCCTGGAGTATTCTCTTGCCCTATCCCAGCAATGTGTCCCAGGGAAGCGATCTGCAACCCCGTAGCCCAACTGGAATCTGGCGAGGTGCAGTCCCTGGTCAAGAGCAGAGATTTCCGCACCAGAGCTGTGCATCAGAGAAAAGGGCAAAACAGTCCTTGCAGAAAGAAACAGGCAGTAATCAAAGCACAGGTTTCAGGGTATCATCAGGAAAAACTGCATTTTAAAATATTACTCTGGCTTAGCCTTTGCTTCAGTTTTATGTTACAGAAAATGCTTCTGATGCTGTTTCTTACCTGTTTCCAAGAGTGTACTATTTTTACTTGCCCAGTTGGGAACCGTGAGGCCAGAAAATACAGAAAATCCAAAGATAAAGATGTTTCTGGAGGAGTTCATATCTGTGTACTGCACAGAGAAATTGTATACATTACATTTGAACTTGCTCAGATCTGGATTACTGTTGTGTTCATGAGGCATGCTCGGATGTAAGCACTGTATGAAGGAGTGGATATGGGCAACAGCCCTGGTGCTGCTGGCGTGTTAGTGATCCTGCTGCCCCCAGTGCCATCAAGCCCTGCCCTAAGCAGGGAGCCCTCTGCCATTTAGCCCCTCCGTGCACTTCCCCCCCATCTTCACCCAAGGAACCGCCAAGGCAAATGTTTGCATTTGCTGCAGCACGGTTATGTCTGACTCAGCCTGGTAAGAACCTGACTTGAAACCAAAGTCCCCTTCCCTAGGGATGAAAAGGCACTCGTACAGCTGTTACCTGCAAATTGGAAATCCCCACTGCCGTGATAACTCCGAACATCACAAGGAGCATGCCTCCAATCACAGGGGTGGGTATGCTGGCAAGCATTGCCCCCACTTTCCCGAAGATGCCACTCAGGAGCATGGCGCAGGCACCAGCAATGATCACCATTCGGCTCCCTACCTGGGGCAAGAGGAAGAGGAGGCAGTCACGCACCGACCGGCGCAGAGAGGCGAGGGATGCCAAGCCCCAGCGCCAACCTGCTGGGCAGGGTTACACCTCTGGCCAAAGCACTCAGCGGCACGTTCAGTCACAGGTCCCGATGCAGCCGCCGGCGAGCCGGGATGCTCACACTGCATGGGAGGCATCAGTATGTGCACACTAGTAAATATTTATCAAGAAAGGCACTCAGAACAATCATGGATCCGCACCCATTTGCTTGGTGTTGCCCTGTTTCGTACAGTTGTCAGGACTTTAACGGTTTGCTGTTAAACAAAAAATTTATTATTAAATTCAGAGCACAGTAATCCCCATACACACCTTTGCTCTCACTCCAGCCTAGAAATGTCTTGGCATACCCACAGCTGCAGCCATCCAGTCAATTGACTGGACAATCCTTCCACCAGAGTTTGGATTGCCATCTAAAAATGGCCTTCAAGTGAGGTGTCCCACACCAATCCCTCTATTCCCTGGAGTCCAAGATGTTGGGAGATCAGGGCTGGCTGGCTGTGCCAATCCCAAGATCTGGGATCTGATATATCCTTTCCATGGTCAACAAATGGCTAATCAGCAGGGAAGTCTCTTGGTCTGTCCCTATCTCTCGTCACCCATATAGCCTTCATTAAAAACATTTCTTTCCCCTAGGAAGAGCCAGGGTGGCCTTTCCTTGGTTGGGCACTACAACAAAGATGGGATGAAGGACCAAGCCATGCCTTTCATTCAGATCTGTTAGAGCATGCAAATAGGAAAGAAAAAGAGTATCTGCCAAACAAAGGGATGAAAGAGACATTTATAGACTATGGAAACTAAAAAGAAAAGCAGCAATATTTATTAGACTTTCAATTCAAGATATGCCTTGCCACACCAAACTTGGAAAGCTTAAAGAATCATGCTAAAATTTACAAAGTTCATGTTTTAGGCAGGGAAACTCTGTAATCCTCTGCAAACATTTTATAATTCAAATAAATATTTTAATCTCTCCCTTTAAATATCTGAAGAATGTTATATTTTCAGGAAGGGCTTTTTGTGAATGCTTTCAACAAAACCATTCCCAGTAAATGATAGTGTATCTTTTAAAGTATTTCTTAAACGTGTCTGCTGAAAATATTTTAAGACTTATGGGGTTGTGAAAGAGAAATGAAAAAGATTTGGTGAGGAGTTTCAAATAAAATCATGCATTGTCTGCAGGTGGGCTTTCTAGATTCTTTGACTTAAAACCTGGAGGAGACACCTTTACCATCAAAACTGTAATTTAATAAAAGCCAACAGATCTGGTTTTTCTAGGATTAGAATGAAGCTTCATATTCTTAATTTGCCAAAATGTCAAATTACCCAGTATATGGAGACAAATTACCTAACCACTAATACAACAACTGTGAGCATATGCTGCTAAAGCCACTAGTTCAGAGTTTGTTTCAATTATGTCAGGAAAACAAGAAAATCAGTTTTCTTTCTTAGGATCGAAGAAACTGCACAATTCCCTACTATCTATATGGTGACTCTGAGGTCTTTACCTCTCCTTAAAATCCTCTTCTTCATTTCTTGGAAATGAGAACTTGGTACTGGCATGCTGGGCTTGATCAAGCAGCTTAAATATAGGTGCCTGGTGCCATTTAAAATGTTGTATCTTGGCAGCTTCCAGCAGCCTCTCCTTGCCTTATCTGGCAGCCCCTGTGGATATCTGAGAGCTTCAAAGATGTTTCAGGTGGTTCTGGACATCTCTGTTTAAGCAGAGGAAATGAGTCCCTTGTTTTTCCATTTGCTACAGAAAAATGTGTTTCCCATGTAAAAAATAAAATTAAATCTGTCTTCTGCTCTCAGCATCCCCTTCTATCCCAGCCAGAGTCTTTATACTGATTTAAGGTTGACTGAGATGAGACTGTATTTTCTGCTCTCTTAAATGTGAACAAAGTGAGCAGAGGTGGGATCTAAGGGAAACATCTCTCCTGAACCAGCAAGGATGGCATGTCCACCTGAAGGATTTAGCATACATGGGGAGAACATGCCCTATAATCTGATGTGTCTGGGCACTTCTGCACTATGCTACATCCCATACACACAACGTATGCAGCAAACTACATGTCATAGAATCATAGAATGGTTTGGGTTAGAAGGGACTTTAAGGATTATCTATTTCCAAACCCCCTGCCATGGGCAGGGACACCTTCCACTAGATCAGGTTGCTCCAAGCCCCGTCCAGCCTGGCCTTGGACACTTCCAGGGATGAAACATCCACAACTTCTCTGGGCAAACTCTTCCAGTGTCTCACTACCCTCATAGTGAAGAATTTCTTCCTTAAATCTAATCTTCATCTACCCTCTTTCAGTTTAAAGCCATTACCCCTCATCCTATCACTACACTCCCTGATAAGGAGTCCCTCCCCACCTTCCCTGTAGCCCACTTTAAGCACTGGCAGGCCGCTACAAGGTCTCCCCTGGAGCCTTCTCCTCTCCAGGCTGAACAACCCCAACTCTCTCAGCCTGGCCTCACAGGGGAGGTGCTCCAGCCCCCCGATCACGGCCTCCTCTGGACCGGCTCAAATAGGTCTGTGTCCATATGTTGGGGGCCCCAGAGCTGGACCCAGCACTGCAGGTGGAGTGTCCATAAGAGCAGAGCAGAGGGGGAGAATCACCTCCCTCAACCTGCTGGCCACACTGCTCTTGATTTAGCCCAGGGTACGGTTGGAACAGGCTCAGGTTTACGATCAGTATGCACAGATTTCATAGTGACAAGGTACATGTGGTGACAGACTAAACTAGACTCCGTGCAGACATCCAGACAGCCCTTGCTGCTGGAAGCAGCTGCCTCGGTCAAACACCAACACTTCAGTCTGTGAAAAATGGTTATTGTGAGTGTGATTTATAAAATCCAGTGAAATAAGCAATATTATAGAGTGGGAGCCATAAATCAAATTCTGCATTTATTTACTGACTCACAGCTCTGCTGACATGACATTGCTTATTTGACAATGATTTTAAAATGTCCTCCAGTTGGCTGCTGGATGTACCCATCCCCTGGCTGTAAAGTTTAGTGAAAATCTATGATCAGATTGTCAAGCTTATCTCTGGAAATTTCTTTCCCTTATAAGACCAGTAAGATACTCAAGTGCTTCGCAAAACTTTATAGAGAGGTAAAAACATAAACCTTTGCCATTGCATTTTATAATCCCAAAGAGATAGTCTACCTTTCACATGATTGCCATCCTTGTGTTATAAAAATTGTGGAATTTGAAGTCCTATTAAATTTTTTTCTCCTTTCCTTTTCCTTTTCCTTTTCCTTTTCCTTTTCCTTTTCCTTTCCTTTTCCTTTTCCTTTTCTTTCCTTTTCCTTTTCTTTTCCTCTTTCCTTTCCCTTTCCCTCTCCCTCTCCTCTGCTCCCCTGCCCTCTCCTCTCCAATCTTTATGAAGACAGACAAACAGGCAGACAGACAGACAAATTGTTTTTGATAAAGTCAGTCCTCAGGAAGTTTCCAGGTTAACTCAGATATTACATGCTCTCTTTCATCTCACCTAAGCCAGGTGCCACGAGTAACAGCCATGTGCACCCATCCCGTGTGCAGACCAGAAGCAGAGAAAGAGAGGGACTGTCCACCTCTCCTGGGTGATTCCTAATGCTGCTGAGGTGGTCACCAATGCGCCAGGGCACATTTATCCAGCCTGCCTTGCAGGAGGTGGGCTAAGATCACATCCCAGGTCCAGCACATACCCATGTGCACCACTCCTTTGTACGTACACCCCCAGGGGAAACCTCCAGGGGAGGGACAGGGCACCGCAGCCACCCCACTGCAACAAGGCTCACCTTGGTGATGCCCAGGGCCCCCACGTTCTCGCTGTACGATGTGGTGCCGTTCCCCGTCCCCCAGGCCCCGGCCAGGAGGCAGCCGATGCCTTCCACCCCAATCCCGCGGCTGATGGCATGCTTCGGCGGCGGCGGGGACCCAGACAGGCGGGCACAGGCATAGTAATCTCCCACGGACTCCAGCATGGAGGAAATCACCCCAGCTAAGATGCCGAATATCCCAGCCAGGCTGACAGTTGGCACTCCCCACTGGCCTGCAAGTAAAGAGTTCAGTTCAGGTTGGTGGGGCACGTTTGCCCTGAAATCTGTTACGGGGTGGGGGGGAGAGAACAGCAGGGATGCTTTTGGGTGTTTGCCTGATTTTTGGCATTTCGCCTCCCCCCTGCTAGCCATAAGCAGAGGTGCAAGCCAGAGCAGGGAGCAGCACGGTGCTATTGGGAAATGGGGGGGGGGGGGAGGTAGTGGTACCTGGGTAAGGCAGCCGAAACCAGGGAGCCTGGGACAAAACATCCCCACGGGTGTCCGTCCGGGCCAGGTGGCCGTAGGTGGTGGGGTCCACAGGGAGGACATCAGTCACCGTCAGCACGTAGCAGAGCAGCCAGCTCAGGGAGAGCCCCAGCAGCACCTGCCCATCACATGCAGCAGTGGGGCCTGGTTAGGGTATAGCCACGTCTCCAGGATGGTTGTGAGGGATAAGGTGTCTCCCCACCCAACCTTTTCCCCTGCACATGGAATGGAGGCAGAGGGACAACAGGAGGGCCTGGTGGCCCTCCCTTCTCATGGTCAGGGCCGTGGGGACCTCCTCTGCCTCTGACCCCTTGACACGCAAGCTGGGCTGGGAAGCAGTAACTTGGTTGGATGCAGGTGGAAAGAGCCCAGGCAACACGGGGTGGGTGAGGCCAGTCCCTCTGCCATGATCACCAGGTCTCCAGGAACCCCAACGTACCGGGAAGATCTGGAAGAGGTGGACTGGGGAGAGGTGGCACTTCTTGCCTCTCTGGTAAGATGGCAGCGGCACAGGGACATCCTTCAGGTACTGAGAGAACAGAACTATGAAAAAAATAGTCCTAGAAGAAGGGAAAACCAGACCATGAGACAAAGTGAGTGCCAAGCTGCCCTCCTGTCCCCACACTGACAGAAGACCTGATAGCCAAGGACCCACGACTCCAGAGGACCCCAAAAAACAGGCTGTCAGCACCAGAGGGTGGCTCCCCACTCCAGCAAGCCTGAGGTGGAACAAGTTTTCCATCATACTCTACTGATAGCTCCTCTGCATTTGTAAATACCTGTTCCCCTCTTTTGTTTCAAGACTGACCCCCCAGATAGTACATCAGTGAGTATGACACAGCTGCATGAAACTTAAATATTACACTTAAATAAAAGAAAGACCTGAGAGATGTGCAATTTTGAAAGAAAAAAAACACAGTGGGACTGTGAGGCTGCAGGTAATGCCCACAGAGCCCTCCCAACCAGCCAAGAAAGGGAGAGCGTAGCTCTCCGATCTGAGAGAGCTGTGCAGCAGAGGGGTCCTCCAAGGCAGGGGTGCTCACGTGTACCCCTGGCAGCACCCAGGGCTCGTTCTGGTGGAAGCAACTGTGAGGTGCAACTCTTCTCCCATCCCCTGTGGTAGGGCACATCTCCTGTGAATGGCAGCACAGCCAGGTGAGCTCACAGCAAGCCCTGTCTTCCCCCCCCCAAAGGGCCACCAGATGAAGCTGGAGGCTCCTGTATGTGGCAAGAGGGCAGTGACCAGCCACCCCACCTTGACTGCTGAGCTGGTAGAAGACACTAGATGTTTTCCTCTTATGTTAACCGGGCCTCTGAAGGGCTCCTGAGTTTTTCATAACAAGTCTAAATTGTATACATTGAGTGAATTAATCTGGATAGGATTTGGTGAGAAATTGATTGCACCAGCTAAAGTGCACTGACAGTGCAGGGAAAACTGGTAGTTTTCCATGCATGAAAAAGTGATGAGCTATAGGTAGAATATTCATGGGCGGGCAGAAAACCAGCAGTGCAAAGGAAACGCTAACCCCACCTCTCCACAAAGACACACCATGACTTACAGCCAAAGGTTATCTATCAATCACAATTCAAAGCACTGAATGACTGGAGGCAGAAAGTCTGAGAAGGAACTGGTTTCCATTTGTCGTTTCTAAAGCCACAGAGCCCAGACAGACTGCGTCAGTGCACATTTTGTACATTTGCATTAACAAAGGTGCTCGGCAGCATTATGAATCACTGCAGAGCCCTCGTCTATCTGAGATAGACGTAGATGTCACTGCTTATTATTCAGGTTGCCTGGCACATTCCATTAACAAACACTATTTTCAGCAGCTTATAATTCTGCCTAACTTTACCCATTCAGGATGAAAATTTCCATGGAAAACATCTATCTCAAGCCAAATATTTCTGGAAAAATATATCCCAAACCTATTTCAAAGAGTGATGCTCAGGAAATAGACATAGAATATAGCCTGCACTGAGAAGGTCATTTTGCCCTGAGCAGTAGCAGGGTCTGCTTATGACCTGGAGCAGAAATTTGAGATTTAGTAGAACTTATTCTTTGGAATAAAGGATATTGCTCTTTTTCACTAAATCTGCTCAGGTATGCTCAGTCTATAACAATGATCATTCATCCCAGGTCCCAAGCAGTCAGCGGAAACATCTCAGGCTTTAGCATTTGCAGCCCATAAAGATTCTGAGCCTTCTGAGTACGTCCAGGACTTGCTCAGCAATGAACTCTGTATGCACCATCACTAGGGAGTAAGTGAGCACACGCTAGACCAGTTTCTTGAGGCAACAGTGGGTATCACCCATCACAAGGGCTCTGGGATGTGGTAGGGCTGAACTGCAGGGCTGAGACCACATGGCTCATGTCATCCACCTTGTCCATTACCGCACTCCCTCTTTCCCTAATGACACTCATGGATCATGGAGAAGACAGCGAAAGAGAACACAACTGAGATGGCTCCGAGCACAATGATCAGACTGGGGCTAAGGTCTGTGTCAGGAAAGAAAATACTGGCATTAGCACAGGTAGAAGATGGGACAGAAATGAACTGGACAGAAAGGATGACCCAGGTTGAAAGCAGGGACACGAACTGGAGGACTGGGACCCTGTTAATGGCACAGCACAGTTGGGCAAAGAGGTCAAGCAAGAGTCTGAGGTTAGGCTGAGGTCCAGTGGCTGAAGAAAGGAGGGAAAAAAAGGAGATAGTCCAAACAAGGATATACAGTTTGAAGGGAAAATTCAGACTGACGAAGCAAAGGGACTAGGACAAATGACCAGAGCTGGAGAACAAGGCAGAGATGTGATGGGAGAAATGGTGGTGAAAGGAAAGCTGGGTTGCAGGCAGGGTTTGGGGTGCTGGTGAAAGAGAGCGGTTAGATGAGGAAATAGAGGTGACTTCTGGGTTCTGGGAAGGCAAGTGCAGGGAGAAAAGAATGAGAGAGGACTGGAACACACCCCCACAACAACACGCTGCCTTCCTGGGGTTGCAGTCAAGCCTGGCCCCTGAGTCTCCAAAGGCAGCTCTGAAAGCACTAGCAAACTGATGGGAGCCCATAGAGAGGACAATAACCTACTCCTGTTGCATGTTATCCCAAGCTGAAATCTGTATTAGGCATCTGAAGGTGCCAAATCTGCAGGGGAACCATGCAGTGGCATTTCTAATTTTTTAATTAATTTCTGAAATACCAAGAAAATTCTGCCACCAAGCACACTCGGACACTCATGCACAAGGACACACACACAAATAACCCTGAAAGAGAACTCAGTGCTGCAAAGCCACATGCACAGACATTTCCAGAGCACCCCAGTCCCTCTGTGAAGAAAACAATTCTCCTTCATAATGTGAAAACAATACATAAAGCACTGGCTATTTTAACTCAAGGAATACCTAACTCTGAGTGCTCAGCTTTGTCATTTTAGGCATATCTTTTTAACTTAAATAATGGGTGTGTAAGACAGTCTGTGCAGACAACTGTGACAGAAACTGCCTCCAGGAACCACACACAGGAAAGACTTGTTTCTCTACTGACCTATAAACCTTGGATTTTCACAAAAATCAGATTTTTTTTTTAACTAATTTTTCAGTTTTGCTTTGTTACTGAGGGTTCTAACCTCTGAGAGCGGAGGGGAAACAATGCAATACTGCTGCCTTGCACAAGCCTGCTGCATGTTCGTGCTCAACAAATAAACCTCGAACCCAGGAGAACCCTGCTACAGACTGCGACACTTGGTTTTGAATTAGAGGTAGGCAGTTTGTGTACACTCATCTTTCCCACGGGGAAGTGAGACTTACATGAATGCTATGCCCCAGTGCTGCCCAGCCTCGTCCCCAGCTGAGTCGAAGAGAGGTAGTGCAACCAAGGTGATGGTGGGCGCAATTGTCAGGGGGCCGATGAACCTCATCAGAAATCCGATCAGGCCAGAAAATCCAACAAAGATCTGAAAGCAGGAAGCTACAATGATAGCTCCTTGCACCTGGAAAAATGGAGGAAGAGAGCAGAGGTTAAAAGGAGCTCCAGCTCTTGAGCCTTTCCTTCATAAATCAGTGCAAATCCAGTGTGAGAGCCAGGCTCAGCCTCCAGTAACAGAGCAGCACAGAGGCCTCTCTCTGCCTAGAGCAAAGCCTGGCTGAGCATTATGTGTGGGAAAGGACCACCAAAGTACCAGCACACCAAATCCCCGCTTGGCTGATGGATTTAGTCTTCACCAGGGCTAATTTAATTCCAGAGACACCCCTCCTCCTTGTCCTCTTGAGCCACCGAAGCATGCATCGGCTTCCCTGCCACTCTCTCTTCCTGCTCCCTCAAAACACAGGGGAAAAGCTCTTGCCCTGAAAACAGGAGCAGGGGCACCGTCTCCACGCATGTCCCATCTGGGCAAGGCTTTCGGCACTTCAGCACGTTGGTAGGGCAGGTGGGTTATTACAGCCTCTGTTTTTTTCTGGGTATCAGTTTCCCTCTAGGGACACGTTTATCACCCTGAACTTTCCTGTATTTGACAATCACTGCTAAGTAGCCAGCAATTGCGTCCTGCCATGCCGTTCCCTGCTCATGTCAGCTCCAGGCAGAGGACTCTGGGGTGAGGCTGCTCTCTGCCATCACAGATTCAGTGATAAACCCAGGCTGGGTCCTCTGTGGTGCTGAGCAACTTCCTTCCCCCAGCTCCAAAGGGAATAGAAACACAGGGGTTGGCGTGAAGCACTCAGACGGAAAGGAGAAGGCAGCATTGCCCTTGTGGTAGATTTACTTGTATCAGTAGGGAGGGCAGCCTGTGCTGCACAGCAAATCCTTTGGGAGCTCTCAACGCTTCCCAAGCGCTTTGCAAAGCATCCCAATGAATGGATCAACAGAGGCAAATTTAGCTCTGATAAAGCAGTAGATTTAGAACAAGCCAGTGATATCCCTCACCTTTCCTCCTCTCTTTTGACTACCTAAGAATACACTTTTCCTTAATATTTACAGTAAGTTCTGTCCTTGCATTTCTTTTTACTAGGTTTCCTGTGCTTAGACAGGGTCTTTTCCTTGAAACATCTTCCCTCCCATCCTTCCTCAAGGCTAACCACGCTTCACAGAGCAGGGATCTGGCTGGGCCAGTGGAGACTTTGCAGGGACCATAAATCACCCAATGTCTGCATGTCCCCTGTTCAGCAGCAGTGAAGCATCTGCTTTTTTTGCCAGAGAATAGATGCTTAGGAAGCTGCAACAGGGTGGAGCCAAGGCCCATTGAGGACCAAGGATTCTCCAGCAGCAATGGCCCTGCCATGGTCAGTTGCTTTTCGGAAAGCAAACAGCTCTGACATAGAGCAGGTGCCACTGAAAATGTAATATACCTCTCGCATCCGTGTCTGCCAGACTTCAATGAACTCTGGTGAAGAAGCATTCACCAGGGTGGCATTCTGCGTCCAGGCAGGGCACTTCCACTTGGGGAGAGACAGCATGGCCAGGGTGGGGGTCAGGAATGCAAAAGTCCCTCCTTGAATAATAGGCAACCTAGAAGGAGAGCAGAGGGAAAAGATGACAAGCAAGAATGCTAGAAACCCAGCTCCACAGGGGTGAGAGAAAGGGAATTGAAATAAATTTTAAAATCATTCTGCCCATGGCCTCTTGCAGTATCCCTTGAAATGTTCTGGCAGGTCTCCATCACTGACCGCAGGTGGGAATTGCTGCCCACTACATTCAAGAGCAATAACCCAGGGGAAGGAGCTCAGGTTCAGCCACCAGCAATGGAAGGGCACATCAGTGCTGCAGTCAAACTCTGCTATCCCTCGTTAAGGAAAAAGTAGTTCTCCTAAGGTGTGATGAGACCACAGAGCTGCACACAGTAAAACAACAACCAAAGGAAAAAGCTGGAGGAGGAGAAAAGACTAAGGAAGAAAAATGATGAGACCCTTCAGAGAAGCTCAGCATCGACCTGGGCCCAAATCTTGCCAATATCCAGTTACATCCTCTGTCCCCTTCAGCTGCCTCAGTTGTCTTTACAACCTGCTCACAAATGTAAGGACATGCACTGGCTACTCCCTACATCACAGCCATCCTCAGATTGAGGGCAGTAGAAAATGTGACTTGTCTTTTAGTACACCATGTTTTAAAGCTAATTCCTCTGCTCTGTTTCCCCTGACACTGGAAAGGACACCTGCATGGATAGGTCTGAGCATGCTGGCTGGGTGAGATCTTGGCTCTCCAACCACACTGTGTATCTTCTGGTTTAGAGTAACCCTCATTTTGGAAACCCCTCAGGCTAGCAAGGAGCTTGCACCTCCAAAGGCATCTAGCACTGGCTTCTCAGAGCTTTGTACAGTGGAGCGGGTGCTCCTGTGAGCTACAACCAGCTTCTTTTTCCACACATGAAGAAATGGTGACAGAGACCTAAAAGGCCTGACTGGCCCTTCAAAGCCCTGCAGGCATTAAACCCCCACTGCAGTGCAAGTTGTTTTGGCTGCTGCCTGAGGGCTCAGGCTGGCACAGCAACTCCTAACCAGCAGAGTGAAACCTCTGGGGTGCCTCTGCTTCCTCCATTTAGGAAGAGCCCTTGGGAGCCACCCCCAAAGCAACCTCTCCTTGAGCCAAGAGTTCTCATGGTGCCTGATCAGAAAAGCGGTGGGGCAGTGAGCTGGGTGAGTGCTTTTGTGGGGCACAGATTTCGCTGAACCAGAGGCATTTCCATCATTCTCTAGAAAGCACTGGAAAATAAGAGAGGGCGTAGCTGTAACAGCACCACGTCTCCATCACCAAAAACAAATGTTTATACCACTGCAATTACTCATGCCATGCACAACTGAGGCACTGTCAAAGCTTTGCCAGTAAGCTATATTTGAATATCAGTCATCCATGGAGTCGCTTATTTACGGCATTCAGCCAAATATGTTGCAGCCTTCAAAGGATTTTGCTGGGCAAGGCAAAAAAACAGACAAAAAGAAACAGAGAAGGCCCAGTGCCACCACTGTTGAATTAACAATAGATTTACAACTCATGCTGTGTTGGCCCTCAAGCTATTTCACAGCCAGTGCTGGCATGGGGGGGCTCGAAGCAAACTGGGGTGCCAAGGTGATGCATACGGGGCACACTGAGCTCTTTCCAGTGGGGTTTGCAAGAGGAAAAGCTGCAGGGTTATGGAAGGAAATGTTATGCTCTGATCATCACTACACAATGTCCAAGCATCTGCTAAGGGGGGCTCCCCATAATGGCAAACGACCTGTGTGTCCCCTCAGCAGCCTCTTAGTTAGTGTCTCCAGTGACTGTCTGGGACCTGTCACTGCTTTTTCATGCTGTGTGACATGACTGAGCTGCAGGTTGCAGTGGGTCAGGCTTTTCCCATGGCTATTGCTTCTGGAGGGCTGCTTCTGAATGGCACTCACTCTTGGTGGGAATCTCCCCATCTTCATGGCCAGTTCCCATCCATTCATTCATGTGCCAACATTGTCTCTTAGTGCCTCCCTGCCTGATGGCCCCCCATTTCTCTCCCAGACTAATTGCAGGCTGCATCCATACCCCTCTGAGCCACATTAACCAGACCATCATCTGTAAGACAAGTGGTCTCCCTTCCCAATGCCACATTAACAGATCATCTCCATACCTCTTCTCCTCTGAATTAGTCTTTCTTAAATACAAACACTGGGAACTGTGCAGAGAACTTAGCTGAGGGTTCCCCAGGGCCTCAGAGAATGGCACAGGTGTTTTCCAGGAAAAAGCAAGCCCTCCAACTCATTCTTTACCACTTTTCTGTCTGACTTGTTGGCTGACTTATGGGTATCAACTACTACAGGGTTTCAGAAAACAGTAAAAGGAGAAAAAAAAATCTGCTTCCAGTTGTCTCCTCAGGCTTGGTTTGCCTCTGGCTGTACTGCAGGCTGAGTCCCACCTTTCCAGTAGGAATGTCCTCGTGCCTTATAGTTGCAGCCAACAACAAGGCAATTATGTCCTCAGCACAGCAAAACCCATTCAAGCTTATCCCATGGGATCAACTCCTGACCACTTAATCTGTTGTTCCTCATTTAGCTATTTAGCCACAGGAGAGGCTCCTTGCTACTCTCATCCTGTGCTAACAGCGAGCAGGGGACGTCAGAGCTCTCAGGTATTCACCAAGGCGTTGGGGGGTACCTGGGAGGACTCCAGCCTGAATTGCACCAGCAGCCACAGTCACAGTCATGCACCCCAGTCTGAATTTAACTGAACTGAGAAGAAGCAGATTCTCTCTTTTTTTGTGGCCAGGGTGTCCCTACTCCTCCACTAACACCATAGCAATGTAGGAGAGGGGGAGCACCCTCTGGGAGAGCTTTGCCTACAGCCACTTCTTAAGACAGAAATAGAAAAGTTTCTGGGGAAAGAAACAGGAGGAGTAAAAACATTTTGTGGAGCTGGTAGATGACCAGTGATTTGATGGTAGAAGATTTTTAACCAGGTCCCTCAAATTCAAAAGACAAAGAATGTGTAATTTTTGCATTTGAAGCAAGAAACACGGGTTCTCACCACATTGGAGGAAAAAACAGCCTGTAGAAAGAGAGAAGCAGCTCAGAGTTATGACAAGAGAAATAAAAGAAATCTTGCAAGGCCAGCAAAGGGGGAGTGCTTGCACTCATGTCTCTTATTAAGTACTTCATTTTCTGGGTAGTAAACAGTAACTCCATGCTCATCTCCTCACCACTGGCTCTTCAACAGCTCAGCAGCAAAGAGGATTTACCTTGCTTACATCCAGATTGTGCCACAAATCCCTGAGCATGGGAAGTGGAACTGCTTAACAGGCTGTGCTTCAGAGCTCCTCCCTGAGTCCCTAAGCGGTAGCAGATGGGCTTTGATTTCTCCCAATTATCCCCTGACTTTGAGTTTCCTACAGGATCTGTGCTCCCTTGATCCCAGGCCCAGATCAAAAGGGTCCTGCCTTAGCTGGAGGATCCCTGGGGTAAGGAGCAAGCAGATACTGTTTATGTTTCAATGCTTTATTATTTTGCAGGACAGATTCCTTACAAGCTTCACAAAAGGTGCATCAATTGCCACGAGATGCAAAAGTCAAAACAGCAAGGTAGCCCTGCCACCAGGTAGCAAAGCTATCAGGTACAGCGATCTCAGGGAGCTTTGGCACGCACCCTGCTGACCTTCACTCACAGATAAACTACAGCAGACTGCTGGCTGAGTACGTAATAATTGCACCTACAAACTGTTTTGTCACATGTCCCATTTCTTGTATTTGGCCTACCTGACTCCAAAGAGGACTTGCAGCAGGGTGCAAATCCCTGAGACAAAGAAGATGGTGCTGATCAGGTGGCTCTGGGTGAGGAGGTCATGCTGGAGGCAAAGCTCTTTGGAGAGGATCAGTGGGATGGCTACGAGACCTCCCATGGCTGTCAGGAAATGCTAGGATCCACAGAGAAAGACTCGGTGAAAGACACAGAACTGGCTGTATATTATTACCATGTTGTTGAGGGAAATCTAAAAGTAACTCACAGATTTCTGTTGTGGAGATATTAGTATTACCCATTCTCTTCTCTGGAAACTTTAATGCTCTGTTAGGAACTGTTGCAAAGCACCCCCACAAACTTCTCCTTCTTTCCATGCCCAAAGACCTTTTGTAGTGGTCTGGACTCCCCAGACCACTGTCAGACACAACCAGTTTATCCCCAACACCTGCAGGCAAAGCTTTGGGCCTTCCAGGAAGGCGGGGACATCCCAAGGTAGGGGGAGAGAGCAATCAGGCAAAGTGAATGCAAATGTTTCAGTTCATCTCATTTGCACCACAAAGGATAACATAAAAAGTTGGCAAATTGGAGCTACTCATTCCTTGCTATCAGTAGCTTTCCTCACTCAGTGCAATTATGGATAACCATAAACAATGGATGCCAAAGAATGGAAAAATCAGGCATTGCATTTTTCAGAAGAGTCACGGACATATTTATTCAATGATCTTCAGTTAATTACTAAATGTGAAAATAATTTTTCAAACTTATTTTTGCTTTAAATATTAACTTTAGTTGTTAGTTCTCACCTTGGAGCACAGGACTGCAGTGGTGGAACTGTTGGCACTCAGAAACTCACTGTGTTCATTAGTGGCATGTTTTATTAAAATTACAATGCAAATTTGTTCAAAAAAACTTGGTTTAATACACTCTAAATTTGAGATGACCTTTTAAGGAAACAAAGTACAAAATGTCCACCAAGCTCTAAGCACAGTCCATCATTACCTTCACCACTCTGAGGCCTCTCTTCCCTGAGGCTCTGTACCCACCGCGGCATTGGTGGCACTGGGTCATTTAACACACCTGGGCACAGACACCAACCAAAGCAGCGTGGACCCTTCTGCTTAGTTTTTATTACCATGGAAAGGCAGAAGTTTAACAGCCCTTACACATTTGGCTACTTTCAGCCAAGGTATCTGACCTAATCTTATTAACTATTTGGCCCCAGATCAGGGACTCTGCTTTTCCATTTGCACTTCAAAGGCACAGTATAGCTGTGGGTGCAAGGATAACAGTCAGCGCTCAGAAGGTGGTGGGAAGGACTTGAGTACACCGAGATCCAGCCCCACGGCTCCAGTCATGCCCAGTGAAGATAAAGCACTCCCAGATTCAGGCTTCACCCCCATCAACCGGCTGACCATCCATTAAACTTCCACCCACCCACAGCTTCCACCTGCTCCCCCATCACACCTGAACGCCCAGCAAGATGCACAGGTACCAGGGGGGCACATCTGTGATGGTGTAGGCAAGCTTGCTGCCACCATGGCCTGTGCCCCCACCTCCCTCTGGGTCCCGGGCAGTGCAATCCGGAGAGGAGCAGTACTGGCTTCCATCTTCACCCTGGATAACAGGAATGACCCTTCGTTAGCTACAGTCCAGCCTGCAGGCCCCCAGCAGCTGCCTCTTTTGCAGCCACACTCCATGTCTTTCAGGAACACCTTGTATATAGCTTTCAACAATGCCAGGATAAAAAAGAAGAGCAAGGGGGCAAATTAAAACAGAGGCACAAACACCTATGAAAAATTTGTATATGCATGTGTGTGTCCAGAGCAGAAGAATCATTAGAGGGTGTCTCAACCTCAAAGGGACATCTGGACAAAATGCGTTAGTATCATTAATGTTAAGCTAAGGATGGAGAAACTCCAACCAGAAGCAAGAAACAGTGCAGTGGGTTAGGCAGTAAAAGCTACAGTCCCCTGGCCTCTGTTTCTCTTGGCTGCCCCACCCAAACAGCACTTTTGATAAAATATGCTAAAGCAACTAGTTACAGACTAGAAGCATGTTTTATATTTCATTTCCTTAAATCTTCTCTTTCCAGTCTCCTTACACTCACCCTTACAAATGTTCCGCCTTGATAAACATACCTGCCTTTTGTTTTACTAGAAAACTTCACCCCTATAGAGGAACCAGGTGAAACACAGGCATATCAGTGGATGGAGAGCTGGCATCCATTTCAAAGGAGCCAGCTCAAAGCAGGGCTACCAAGGTGCTGCCCCAGCTCAGCCGCCTGCCAGGGGAAATGGCACCCAGAGGGATGCCCCAGGGCAGGGGCAGAACCAGGGACCAGGAAACAGCCCAGGGACCTGGGGCCTCAGGGAGGTGGCAGGGGCTGAAATAGCTTCCCAGGAAGGCTCAGATCCCCTCCCAGGCAGCCATCAGCCCCAGGGCTCCCCAGTGAGCTGTACGCTTTGCAGAGCTTATTTATACAAAGATGACTTTTGTCAAGGAAAGAAAATACTGTTTTGCTTCTGTTGCCACAGCTTCTAAGCTAAGCAAACACCCCTGGCTTTCTGCTCCTCCTTCCAACCCACCTTGACCCCTGTGCACAAACGTGCACACAAACACACACATTGTCTGGGCACACAGACGCCCTGTGCACACACACACACACCCCCCCGCATACACACGGATGAGGTAAAGGGAGGCTACCTGGGAAGCCACAATGTTTGGAGCCAAATGCAAAAGCTAATTAAGATCCCAAACCATCTGTTTCATCGACCCCTCTCCAGCCAGCAAGCCCTTGGCACGCTGGCAGCAGAGGGCTTTTCTGAGCTGGGATGCCCTGCTCTACCAGACAGGGACAGAAACCTACTGTCAGGAGAAACTCAACCAATTTGTCAGGACCAAACTTTTTTTTTTTTTTTTTTTTTTTTAATCTTCCAAGTCCTGCTGGAACCTGAAGACACCAAAATGCCCAGCAAAAAGAGGTGGCTGCAGTAACACAGCGTACCTACCAATGGAGGCAAACAGCTAATGCTGCCGTCAGAGAAGAGGGATATAAAATTATTGTTATGTTCAGTTGTAAATTTTGCAGGTGTGACAGATTAATCCTAAAGGACTTCATAATACGTCTGAAACCCTCAGGTTTCCATTCTCATGGTTGAGTCTCCAAAGTGCCATTTTAGATCACGCTGTTGAAAATGTGCTATGTAATACCATTTAAACACAGTGTATTTATCCAGCCTAAGCAGGTTGGGAGCATCACAAATACTTCAAAACAGATAGGTGAAGACAGAGTTAATTCAAATTGAACGCAAGCATGAACTTCAAGAGGAAAAGGAGTTCCTGAATAACTCCCTGTGGAGACATTTTCATTTCACAACAAGAGAGCCTGAGCCATGGATTAACAAAAGTACAGCGAGGTACTTAAGACTGCCCATGCACGGAGTTATCTGGGGACAGCTACTCCTGAATAACACCACGGGTAGATGAATCCTAAGCTAGGCAGACAGCAGTAAGCTCCTTTCCTTGCATTGTAACTTTTCCCACGTCAACCAGGAGGCATATTCCAGCGAGGCAGAGCCTGTGCCAGTAACAGCCCCGCATGATCATCACATGAAGACCTGACCCTCCTCAAGAGCTGGAGGGGAGCGAGCAAGCAGGGCTCAGCAGGAGGATGGAGCGGAGATAACAGGACGAAACAGGACCAGAGGCAATGGGCTCAAACTGAAACACAAGAGGTCCTGTCTTAACATCAGGAAACACATTTTCACTGTGAGGGTGACCAAGTACTGCACAGGCTGTCCAGAGAGGTTGAGTCTCCATCCTTAGAGATATTAAAAAACTGCCTAGACACAGTCCTGAGTGGCTGGATCTAGTTGATACTGCCTGAGCAGGGGGGTTGGAGGAGCTGACCTGCAGAGGTCTCTTCCAACCTCAGCCCGTCTGTGATGCTGAGATGCTGGCAGGAGGATAAGGCAGGAGCAGTCTGGAGCTTGAAAGGGGAACCACTGCTGGTGGTTCTTGGCCCAGCTGCTCCCATGAACACAGGGGACCAGGACACCCTCACCCTCCATGTGCCTCAGGCTCCAGGGCCCTCAACAGCATCTTAAATAATTGCATCGGGAGGGCAGTCAGAAACTGAACTGTTTTGAACTACAGGTAAACTACCTCAAGCCTGATCTGTGTTATGGCAGAACAGGTAGAAATAGAGACCCCATTAACAATAGTGAAAGAAAACTTGCTCTGAGCACCCCCCTGAGGCTCTGCCCACAGCTGGCACAGCACCCCCACCTCCACGGCTCACAGCAAGCTCAGCAAGAGTTACCCACGAAATGGGAGACTTGTACACCGGGAGGTTAAATGCCTCCTCCAAGGTCCCCTGGGTGGGTGGTCTGTAACCAAGGTAGCAAGATGGTTGCAGGATCCTGCCCCTTCACACCTGATGTCAGAACATAAGCAGCTCTTTTAGTTTCTTACGGAGGTGACCCCTGCTGTGAGATAAGAAGGAGGCTGCCATGCCCCAGACCCTTGCCCTATGGCTGTTTATAGCCCGTAGCATTTCCAGTGCACTGCACTCTCCTGAACTGACACGTGATTTACAGCTTTTACTATCCTGCTGTAACTCTACAGGGAGCCTTCCCTTGCTGACTCCCAAATCCTTTTTTCACCCACTTCTTTGACAATTCACCCCACTACAAATAGATCCAGAAGACAAAGAAACACATTCTTCCTAGGCTAATTTTCTATTGTAATTTTACTAATTAATACATAAAATGCTCTACCCAGGGACACAGCCACAAGGAGCCACAAGCTCACTTGTTTTTCAGTACACATACATTTGTGCTGCCATTCATCTACGCTATCATTTTAGAAATAAAGGAGAGAAAAAAGTTAAAAGGGAGCCAGAGAGTAGAAGGTATGCTGAGTCTTCAGCAGCAGCAGGCTGTAGTGAGGAAATAATTCCTCGGATTTCTGCCGATAAAGAGACAGACATTTACCACACACCAGTATCCTTGAAGCCAGTCCAAACCCCCTGGCTTTCCCTTTCTCCTCCTTTTGCAGGGCTCGCACCTGTTTATGCAGGAATTACCCTTCAGAGACAAGCAGACTCACCACGAAGCTGGGGTTATCTAATCCGTTGAGCTCTTTGTCTGAGGAGGGGGTCATGCCTTCCACTTGCCTTCACCGACTGCCTTGAAAAAGAAAGACCAGTAAGAAGAAGAAAGCCTCCCAAATTGTCACTTCTCCCAATCAACAGAGCCCTAAAGAAACAGGGTGAGAAGATGCAGAAGCTGGACTCAGGAGTCAACCAGCACTCAGTCCTAGCTATTCATGTGAGCTGTATTGCAGAAGCATTTCCTTTCCCTTGGCTTATATAAGTGAGTCCTTTCCTCCAGCTGATTAGAGGACCAGCATTCAAACCAAACTGGAAAGCAGCCCTTCCCTGGGCTGAGTGAATCAGTAACTGATGGCAGAAAAAACTTTCCTCTGTAGGTAAGGATGCAAAGACGTATCAGAGAAGCAAGACATTTCACTGTTTTTCTAGCACAGCCTTGAAACTTGTTGCTTCATTATTGATTCAACAGCAACTTGCATTTTCCGTGTGGGTTGGGCCTGTTTGAAGACCTTTGTGCTGATCTTTAGAAAATTCAACTTCTAGATGGTTTCACTTATTCTGCATGTAAACTACTGTGTATTTTGGCTTAGGTACAAACATCATCATCCTGTATGATAATCCTATTACAACATGAAAAGTGTGAGGATTATACTGGCAACCTATTTAAGGCACCAACCAATAATCAAGGCATCCGAACATGACACCAGGGAGGTATAGAAGACATAAGATTGAAGGACTACTTCAGGTCACCTGATTATCTCCATTCAGCTAAGGTTCTTAGTTGAATGGTGATCATGGGATGGCCTGAAGCATAGTTACCCTTCTCTTAGCAAGTAGCAAACAGTGTTAATACTCTGTCAAGCCATTCTATCCACCCCAGCCCAGCCCTCCCCAGATTAAGTATCTATTTAATTTAATGGCTTTCTGAGGCAGTGAACTTCCCAGACCAGCTGCAGAGAGCTCCTGTGGAGTTGGCCATGCAATCGCCTACACTCAGTGATGGACCATTCGGAACACCTCCTGGTTTCCATGCAGGAAGCAACATAACTGAAATAAACTCTGGTCCCTATTTCTCTTGTAGAGCTTTGGTATTCTCGGACCTTCTCTTCAGACCAGGACTGCATTACAGGACAAGACGACCTTCACCCTAAACACCATCAGTAAAACTATGAGATGCTGGACAGCTAAATCTTGAGGCATCAAAATCATCAGATGTTCATAGCTTTGCCAGATCTCCTCTCTGAAGTCCCATTATATAGGAATCTCCCCTTATTTTTAACTGCAGGGCGTGCATTTCCAGCCCCACTGATCTTGGCACAAAGTCACTTTTTTTTCTGCAGGCTCTAGACGAAAACTCTTTTCCTGGTGAAACTACCCTGGACACTTTTGCCCTCAAATCTACTGATTCCCAGCACAGAGGGAGCAGGACAAATCCCTCCGTGTTGTACAGACCTACTCATCTCTTGTTATCCAGTGCACTGCATGCTTGTGGTTCATTGCACATTTATTGTTTTGTTATATATGTAATCAGAGTCCATAAGAAATACCAGGGAGGATGCAATATCAGTGAGGATGAACCACTGCAAGACCCTAAGAGAAGGAGATTTGGATTTTCCTATTCCTTTTTTTAAGGTACATTCCTGCTTGCATTTCTCAATGGATACAGTCCAGTTCTCTGAGCAACCATCTAAATCCGTCCATTCTGATATCCTCCATTAACCCTACTCCGTTGCATGAATTGGCCATTCTCTATGCCTCACAACCTCTCTCACTGTGAATTTTTTTTGTCAAGCCATAGCACAATATTCCTCTGGGGCTAGTCTGTCTTCCCAGTAGACTTTTACAAGACCTCTCATAAAACAAGTCTCCATTTCTTAATTTCAGCCCAGCAACGACTCCTCAGTCCTGCCATAACCTTGTTTTCAGATGAGACCTAATGTGTTGGCTTTGGCTGGGGTAGAGATAATTTTATTCATAGTTGCTAGTATGGGGCTATGTTTTGCATTTGTGCTGGAAACAGTATTGATAATTCGGGGATGTTTTAGTTTACTGCTGAGCAGTCCTTACAGAAAGTCAAGACCTTTTCTGCTCCTCATACCGCCCCACCAGCAAATAGGCTGGGGGTGCAGAAGAAGTTGGGAGGGGACACAGTCTTTATCTCAACCCATGAGTTTTCTCACTTTTAACCTTCTAATTCTCTCCCTCATGTTGCTGTGAGGCAGCAAGCAAGTGGCTGTGTGGAGCTTAGTTGCCAGCTGGGGTTAAAGCACAACAGTCCTTTTTGGCACCCAATGTGGGGCATGAAGGGTTCGAGATAACAATAGGCTTGATTGGAATACGATAGATCAAATTTACAACTGTTATTGCTGTTTAGCTATTAATCATCAGGGTCCTGTGCTTGCCGTGGGGCTTGCTTGCTTTACAATGTATTAGAGTCTAGTGGTTGTTAGTGGCTGCTTTCTGCTTATGCTACTTGCTGTAGTGCTGTACTGCTTATCATCTTACTCTGCTATGCCTGGGAACAATTTTTTAACAGCAATGGCCATGCACCTGGGCTGGCAGGTGGCCAGGACATTGCTGCTGTTTCGGTGCTACTGTCCTGGACAGGTTGGAACTCCAGTGTGAACTCAGGCTGAAGGGACTGTGACCTGCAGATGAGTCCACATGGGAGCAGGACACCCCAGATCATCTGTAGATGAATCCACACCAGAGCATGTACATCTCGAAGTGCCTGTGGCCATCGTTATGTCTGTGTTGCAGCAGGTATACCTCTGAAGGGATTGTGGCCCAAGGGTGAGTCCACACTGGAGAAGGTACACCGTGAAGCATCTGTGGCTGTGGATAAGTCCATGCTGCAGCAGGTACACCTTGAAGCATCCATGTCTGTGCATGAGGTCATGCTGGAGCACCTCAAAGCACATGGCCATGCATAAACCCACGACGGAGCAGGTACACCCCAGGAGGGACTGCAGCCATGGGTAAGGCCACGTTGGAGCAGGTCTACTTCTGAAGGGACTGTGGCTGTAGGTAAGGCCACACTGGAGCCAGTAAATCTCTGAAGGCATTGTGGCTCATGGAAAAGGACGCGCTGGAATAGGTGTACCTAAAAGCGACTGTGGCTGTGGATAAGTCCATGTCACAGCAGGTATATCCCTAAAGAGACTGTGGCTCATAGATAAGACTCCACTTGGAGCAGATACAACACTAAGGGACTGCAGTCTGTGGATAAATTCAAGCCAGAGCAGGGGCAGGGGGAGGAGTTCATTGCAATGGTGCAATTGCAACCTGATGGTCTGGTCCAAAGGGACCATGGGTGGAGATTGTAATGGAAATATCTTTGAATTGTTGTAACCCAGGATTTGAACTGCGTGTTATGGAAATTATTAGAGCAGGAACTCCTCATCTCTGGTGCCCAATAACTCCACACAACACACCACTTCTCCTGTCCTGAGTGACCACCATAACAGGTGAAACCCAAAGTCATGGACTAAATGAACTCAGTGGACAGTTTGTGGACATTTATGAACATTTTACAGACATTTTCACAGGGGGGGTCCATAGACTAAGGGAATGATATCTGTGTATTGTGTCAAAGGATGCAGGGGGTGGGGGTGTGGTTGTTAATGAGGATGTATTGGATAGCATGGGACCTGAGCATGACATAAATGGCATGGAATAAAGGGTGGAGAATGTGCTGGTTTTGGCTGGAGTAGAGTGAATTTTATTCATAGTACTTAGTATGGGGCTATGTTTTGGATTTATGACGAAAACAGTGTTGATAGTTCAGGCATGTTTTAGTTATTGCAGAGCAGTGCTCAAGAAGAATCAAGGCCTTTTCTGCTCCTCACATCACCCCACCAGCACGTGGGCTGGGGGTGCACAAAACGTTGGGAGAGGACACAGCCAGGACAGGTGACCCCAACGGACCAAAGGGATATGGTGTCATACTCAGCATATAAAGCTGAAAGAAGAAGAAGGAAGCAGGGGACATTTGGAGTGATGGCATTTGTCTTCCCAAGTAATCATTACATGTGATGAAGCCCAGCTGTCCTGGAGATGGCTGAACACCCACCTGCCGATGGTAAGTGATGAATTAATTCCTTGCTTTGCTTTGCTTGCATGCACAGCTGTTTCTTTACCTATTAAACTGTCTTTATCTCAACCCATGAGTTTTCTCACTTTTACCCTTCTGATTCTCTCCCCCACTCCACTGGAGGGGGAGTGAGCGAGTGGCTCCGTGGGGTTTAGTTGCAAGATGGGGTTAAACCACGACATCTAGGCATTCAGTAACCAGGGTTTCTATTTCTCTTTGGTTGTATAAACCTATGTAACACCACAAAGGCACGGGTGCATAATAAGGCCTATGTCATCTAGACTAGCATGTGAAACTGTCAACGCAGAGAATATTAAATGAATGGGATGAGAAGAACAATACAAAATAATAATAATAACAATAATAACAATAATAACATCAATAATATCAATAATAATAATAATAATAATAATGATAATAATAATAATAATAATAACCCCACCAGTAACAACAACAATCACTTCTCTCAAAAAAGCTGGGCATAAAACAATTTGCCATTCTGGGAAACTCTGCAGTGCAAAAAAATGCACTTTAAGAGTACCAAGAGATTGTGCGTTTTACATGAAAAACACAGGAAATAAGTCCAGTTTAGCCAAAAGCCTGGACATAAGAGTAGGCCTGTTAGGAATGAAGAGTTCAACAGTACCAGACTCTGGCCAATGAAAGGTTGATACTGTAATCTGTAATCTAGAAAGTTATGAAATAGCACAACATACATGTCAAAGTAGAAATTCATGGAGTCCATGTGAAACGCCCAGGCATGGAATATCCTGCCCTTGGAAATAAGCAAAGCAAGTAGGAAGCCTCTGTGTGCATGCAAATGTCCGTGTGGATCATATGTATATGTACATGTGTATATTTGTGTCTGTATAACAGGATTGGCAATAAAATACTAAATTGTGAGATTTTCAGAACAAGGAATTACTCAATTAGCAAAGATACCTGCTTAAGCGGTCATGTCATCAATTACTGTGCAATTAAGT